CTTTAACAAAAGAACATTTTTTTTAAACGGGGGTTTACGGTTGAAATGATCCATTTCAGTAAGTTTATTGGTCTATTTGCATGCTTGTTTTTTTAATTTTATTGGAATATTTATGTTGAAATGTGCTCAATGATCTGCATTCCCACACATTCACTTTGGTTGCACGGCAGTGGTATGGTTGCGGTCTGGCAACGACCGAAAGCGGCTGCTGCCTCGTAGACGTGGTCGTTTTGCCCAGGCGCCTTCCACCCATCAATCAGCTCAACTTTCTCCCTTCTAAGACCTCGTGTCACGTTCGTTGCTTGTTATTATGATTTTTAACATGCCTTCTTTATTGATCTGGACATTTTTCGCCCATTTGAATGAAATAGTTATTCGTTGTCTTCATGTCAAAAAGCTGTGTGGCAGCTCTCGCTCATCTTTCGTGGAGTGGTTTTTCATTTCACTTAGAAATGAAATGAACATTCGGGTGGGAATCAGAAGTGCGTTTATGCCATTACACTTAAGAGGGAGATCAGTAATAGGACTTTCTCGGTTTGATTTTCGCTGGTATAAGTGGATGAGGCACATCCTGCAGCGATTACCTTGATAACTTGCACCCAATAACTTTCATTGCCCACAAACATGCTTCGATGGTTATTGTCGAAAGTTAATTGGCTTTTTAAGTTATTTTCTTGGGGTGCTATTCCATATATCAATTAATACATTACTTCACCGAATTTATTTGTACCTAACAGCCAGAATATTGAAAAAGATTTTGAATTCTGTTTCCTTCTTTATTATTATGGTTTCATTCTAACAATCTTACTTTTTACTAAATTATGTATTCTGTAATCGACCTATGCGGTGATTGATAATTTTTTTATTCATTTTTTGCGAGGCTTCACATAAACATTGCTTTGGAGTTCTATTCCCAGAACAAATTTGGTGTCTCAAGATTTCATTAAGGATACCTGATGGTTCAGAATTGAAAGTATTCGTCATTATATGCTCGCTAGGAATCCGCATCTATATTGTCGTCGTGATAGTAGAAGTAATTATTTTTGGCAACCGATTTGGATAACTATTATTATGCATCATTTTTACTTGTTATATGTTTTGACGCAGTTCTCCTTTGTCTGGCAGCCGTGCATACCAGACTACGTAGCATAGCTACTCATGTATGAGTCAGGGTGTCACCGGGAGCACCTCCCTTGCCTGAAATAGATTCGCGCGTCTTTGTAGTATCTGTCGATGTCCTTCGCTTGTTGGGCGGGCTGGAGATTCTCCAATACAGCCAGGCTGGTCAATGTTATTGAATATTTGAACATCAATCTATTTAATGGAAATAATTTTTTAATAATAATCTTTGAAAATTATTTGGAATGTTATTATCGAAATTACTTTTGAAATCCTATTATGATTTGTTGAAATAGTTTGTCATAATATTTCATAATAAATTAGTATGTAGAAGCCTAACCGTAGCCTAACTGCTCGAGATCATTTTTTTGCCGAGATTCTCTTTAAATTGAATCCAGTTTAAAAATAGGTCATTTTTAATTTCTCACTCATTAGAAAACGTCAAGTAATCTCTTGTTTTTAATTTTGCCGGAAATGATAATTTGAAATTTATTGAATTATCCATCCAACCCACCATACTTAGAAGCACGATGCCTGTTACACACAAGACCACGGTGTGTTGCTACATTCATTTCAGATACAACTGGCTTCAATCGCACGCTGTTCAACTTCAACTTTAAAAAAATATGTGCCTATGAAGAATATTCCATCTGTAAGATTTACCTCACGACTACATGGGATATATGCGCCGCAATAGGTACATGGGATTGCGGGGTAAATCCGAGGGGCAAATCGGTCTCATTACGGTGCGCAAAATGCTGGACAAGTTCCCTCTAGGGCTCCCTGGGGGAAATGAGCTGAGCCTGGCTTTGTTTCAGCCAGCTGTGCTACATTCCTGCCGCATTACAAAACTTTGTCCATTTCTGATATTTTTCTCTAACCTCATGATGCACTTACTGTGATCTTACCTTTATAGCTTTTGTTTATGCTCAAGTTAAGGAAACAAAGTGTGTAATGAAAAATGTTAGTAATTTTTGTACAACTAGAATTAAAGATCGGGATCAATTCCTGATGATCCGTGTCGACTGGTAAATATTTGACGAATGGCTTGCGTGCCGTGAAACTATTATAGCGAGCAATGGTTTATTTGATACAAATTAGAACGCTACTGCAACTACTGGCTACAACTTAACATATAACTGAACGTTTTACGCATGCCTTTTAGTACGCAAGAATGAAGAAGTTTTACTTTGTGTTACGCTCCTGCAATAGCACATATTGATCCGCATTTCAAGTTCAACTGATTTAGTTATCGCATTGAATTTTTCCAGTTTCAGTGCTCATTTCAACTCGCCTGCCATATCTTTGTTTCTCCACAGCTTGCCAATTCATCGCTTCTCCTTGCTGTGCCAAATCCGCTTTCCTTTCGGACTGCCAAGTCTTCGTCATGCCTAGCTGCCAATTTCTCATGCCAAGTTATATTATCATCTTAATCTGGCAAGTTCTCATATGATTTTTGCCTACCGAGTTCCCGAAAATCGACAAGTTCTAAATGGTCTCCGTGTGCCATATTCCTGTACCACCTTCCTGTTATCGCATCACACCAACCTGCCAACTTCTCGTGCCGCACAGCCCGCGGAGACGTCAAGTTCTATTGCCTACACCCTGGGGCGGAGGAGGCAGGATTGGTGGCGGAGAAGTGATCGGCGTGCGCAGCGGGTTGCGGGCCTTGACCTGATTGCCTGGTGACCCTGTCGCGCCGCAAGCCCTACTTGATTGCCACCGCCCACTCCCCGCTCTACGACCGCTCGATCTCGTCTTGGTTGCTTCCCTTGCCTTCCTTCTTTGTTCATACTTGCCCGCCCGCTGCACGCTCCTTTGCTCTGCGTTCACGTTCTTGTTTTGGTCACATTAAACGAGTCACTGTTACTCGTCGTTGTACCATAGTTTTACCATATTTTAAATGTATTTTTTCTTTCAGTACTTTTTATCGGAGACAGTCTGATATTATGTTAAATTGATATGGTATCTGATATCATGGTATAATCTTGCAAGCTTTCGCCCAAGATTGATAAGAAACCTTTATTTTGCAGTGATCGCGGGTCCAACGGAAGAAATCCTTTTCTGACTTCTTGTTTCGTTTTCTCCAGATTTAGTTCCCGTTTTTTTCTTACATTTTTTACATTTATAGCAACGTATTTATCAAAAATGAGCGTGAAATGAAAAGTAAATGTAAAATTTAATTAGCATGTTCATTTGCTTATGAGAAAATTTCCCTTCTACTTAACTATCATATAATAATCATTCTCATATGTCTATGAGATATTTTTCTCATCTTAACTTTAATTTCAGTTTTATTTGTGCGGAATAGATTGAATGTCGTGCTTACACATATAAAATGCTGGAAGTAATAAATCTTGAACTAAATCAAATATGTCGTATAAAGTCCGTAGATTTTTTCCGGCTGCTCATAGTTCTTAGAAAAAAAATTTTTTTAGTCGGTTGATGTTAAAAATATCGGAATACTCAGCCACTCCGTTTCCATTTATTTATCTTCATACTACCATTAAAAAATTATTTGCTCTCAATCACAAGCATTGTAGGTACTTTTTCTCTCTCAACATGGTAATATTCTAGCTGTGAATTTTATTTCAATAAAATCATGAAAACTTTTACTCAGATGAAGACTTTATCCTAGTTTTCTGGGGTTCATGTCATTTCCTTCATATCATTATAATTTAATACAGAATATTTCCTTATATGGTTGATGTTCTATCTCATCTAGTGCATTAGCTCTGACTGTTGCGCAATCATAAGACTTTTTATGTTGTAGTTCAGGTCTAATGTTGATAGCCATTAATGTTGATAGCAAGCCGCCGCCTACACGCAAGCTAACCCTCGAGGAGTAGAACTTAAAGGCTTTGTGAGTGGTGACCCAGAACTTGGAGCGATTGGTGTGTGGTGGCAGAAAACTTAGAGCGATTGGTGAGTGGTAACACAGAACTTAGAGCGATTGGTGAATGGTGACACAGAATTTAGAGCAATTGGTGAGTGGTGACACAGAACTTAGAGCGATTGATGAGTGGTGACACAGAACTTAGAGCGATGGGTGAGTGGTGACACAGAACTTAGAGCGATGGGTAAGTTGTGAAACAGAACTTAGAGCGATTGGTGTGTGGTGACACAGAACTTAGAGCGATTGGTGAGTGGTGACACAGAACTTAGAACGATTGCTGTATGGTGACACAGAACTTAGAGGGATTGGTAAGTGGTGACACAGAACTTAGAGCGATTGGTGAGTGGTGACACAGAACTTAGAACGATTGGTGTATGGTGACACAGAACTTAGAGGGATTGGTAAGTGGTGACACAGAACTTAGAGCGATTGGTAAGTGGTGACACAGAACTTGGAAGGATTGGTGAGTGGACTTTCGCTGTTTTTTAGTGCTCGTTAATAAGCTCTGGCATTTTTTTGCTCTGTCAACCGAAATTAAATCCGGTGTAACAGAACGTTTCGGAAAATGTATAAATTGAATTGGATAAACATTTGAAAAAAGCAAATGTATTATTTTATACACTATTAGCGACGCTCAATATTTCAGAATTAACAAAACGTCGTTACGTTGGACGATAGCGAATTAAATATATTTTCTGTCGTATACAAGGTTTGTCTGAAGTATAAAACTGTTCTTCCAGAAAACTTTGAAATCTTCGAATAAGAACCATTATACAACTAGATAGTTCAGTAAATTATTTGCGTTAGTGCATTTCCATTCTTTGTATATCTTCATTTGTACTAAATTTAAGGTTTCTAGACATGATATATCATTAGTTACGATATTAAATCTTAAAATGACACGATATGACAACACCCTCATGTAAGCCTATTTTGTTGTCACTGGTTGCAGCACTGAAATTTAATTGCTATTTTTCATCCGCAGATGTCGCACAAATCACCGCTTGATCTCCCTGGAAACTGACGTAGTGCGTCTGGTCGACGAACAACACCTTTTTCGCTCCAATGAAAGCCTTAGCATGAAATAGCTCCGCTGTTCAACTGACATGGACAGACCCTAACAGACCCTAACACGAGGCTGTTTATGATGTATTCTCACCTTCAACCTCAGTGACATCCAGCACTTGAGTTTTGTGAGTGAATATGAACGGCTATAAATGTTTGCTCAATAAACAATTGTTGAACATGCGGACAACTCCAAAAATATATTTATAATGTGCTGACACCACAAGTTTTATATTCTATTGTGATATTGTCTTGCTATATATGCTCAGTAAATAATTCGCTATAAACTTAGCAAAATTTAATGGCAACGGTACGTGACTTGCAACGCAATGTCGACTATATAGCGCTTAGGCCTGGTGTCTATGTTTGTGAAAAATTGTTAATGACAATTTTTTTGTTGCAATGAGTACGATTATATTGCCTCGTTACGGATGCTGAAGCCTCGTTACGGCTACTGAAGCCAAGTTACGGCTACTGAAGCCTCGTTACGGCTACTGAAGCCTCGTTACGGCTACTGAAGCCTCGTTACGGCTACTGAAGCCTTGTTACGGCTGCTGAAGCGTTCTACTTGTAATTTGAATACGGCTAATTTATGGTACTCCAATGCTGAAATTCGCGCTGCTTGAATAAACTGACTGACATTGTCGTCTAGGTTGTGCAATATAGGTACTCGTTTTCAATTATCATCGTAAATTTAAAATATTCTTATCATAATATGATGGCATTCTGTCGTCTTTTTTCGCATGGGTTGTAATATTTTAATCACAATTTTACACTACCAATATCAATATTCACAGCTGCACGAGAAGATGTGGGAGGAACAACTGCAGGCGGTCGGGGGGGAGGCTGCCTACCAGTGGGTTACATGGGGATCTCCCGGCAACTCGAGCGTCAGGAGCAAGTGTGACGCGCCCCTACAGTACGACTACCATATCGCCGTCGCCGTCAGCTGTGGCATGATGCTGCTTTTTGGCATCGTCTACAGTCTTTTTGGTCAGGCAGGGAGATACAAAATATGAAATATGCTTCCATGTTTTGAAGTTGGATTTTTTTCTGGAATCTAAGTTTATTGGCTAGAGAAACGAAAATTTTTACTGCAGGTGAATCAATGTCCGATAAATTCTGCTAATGTTATTAATATCATTAATATGCAAATTCAGTCAACTCGGAAAAGTCTTTCAGAATGCCATAATTTGCTAATTAGAGTCCTTACTGATATACCTGTTTATTAAACCTTGCCGAATGTTTTAATAAGCTCTAAGCTACCTGCTCTAACATTAACATTTGTTCACAGGTTATCGCTGCTTCAAAGCAGTCATGTTCCTGACGGGGTTCTTGTTTGGGTCTGTGGTGGTCTACTTGATATGTCTGAGCGAGTCTCTGCTGCCGGTGCTTGGTAACGCGGGTGTGTCGCTAGCAGCTGGCCTCATGTTCGGGCTCATCACGATGCTGGTGCAGTACGTGGGCCTCTTCATGACCGGCTTCCACACAGGGCTCTTCCTCGGGGTCGCTGTCATCGCAGCCGCTTACCCCTGGTAGGGATCAGGGTGTTCGCTCACAGTCTCATGTCGGATCATTTAGCTTTGGATCCCTAATTTAATTATACTTGCGTGAGGTGTTGTAGTATTTTCTTGGTAATGTACAATTTTGTCTCATATTTTAGAAAGATTTCGCGTGTTGATTATTTCGACATGCCGTTTCGATGTCAATCTTCAGTAATTACGGAAGATTGATACTACCACGTCAATCCACGTGGGATTAAAATACTAATGAAGCGTATTTTCTACCAAAAACTCGCGTAAAATTTTTACTTGATCGTTTTCCCTGTTTCTTGTTCCCCAGTTCTATTGAAATCCTAGTTTCTTTTAAAAAAATTCCCCTTAGTTACAGTTTAAAGTTAAAGTTATTGCTTACACTGGATGTTGAACTAATGTATTTGTGCAGGTGGGTTCCCAGCAGCGTTTGGGTGGTGGTAGGGCTGTTGCTGGGGTCGGGGCTGCTGCTGGCGGTGCTGACGCTGTATTTCCAGAAGGGCCTCACCATCCTGGGCACCGCCGTCAGCGGCGGGGCGCTTCTTGCCGCCACACTCGACTACTTCGTCGAGAAGGTCAGGCTGGTACTTGATTTAATGAGTCAACTATTGGCGGTATAACCACTTCTGAGGGAGCAGGGTTATTCTGCTTATTCTTATTTAAGGCTATTTTGGTACGTATGTAAATATATTGCATTTTGCGTTACCCAGGATAAAAGGACTTGATGCTTTTAAATTTGAAATGCAAGCGTTATTTCTCACTGTCTTCAATGGTCTTTTCATGTCGAAAATGATATAAATGGTCTTGACATTTTATTCAAATGCCACTCATACACTAACCTTCATTTTTCATTCAAACCTAAGTCCTACTTGGTAAAATTGAGTGCTAGTCAAATGACCGGCCAAACTAGCAAGCCTATAGAGTTTTCCAAACTTAATTAATGTTGAGCTTGTGATGACAGTTCGTGATGGTGACGTGGCTGGTGGAGCGTCTCATAGCGAGCCGTGAGAGCGAGGGCGTCTGTTGGTTCTCTTGGCTCATTTTGGGCGTCTGGCCGCTGATGGTCGTCGTAGGGGCGCTCACGCAGACCTGCATCACGGGCACTGGCATCTACCACGCACAATGTGAGCACTACTTTATGTCCTGTAAATTAATTGTTGTATATTTGCTTGTTGACCATGGCTTGAGTTTCTTAAATGATGGTCAATTCATTGGGCTTAAGCGAACAACATAATTTTTTGACCGAGGCAGATGGACGTCTTGCGTATATCTGATGCATATTAAAGTAAATGAATAAAGATGTTGCTCTTTCGTTAATTATTGGTTTTTATCGTGGTACCTGGTTTATTATCGTGGTTTATTACGGCACTTGACTTATTTGTATACTCATAACGAATATTACCACTTCACTTATCCCTTAATAATATTCTAATATTCCATAGTGGAGAGTTCTTTTTTGTGTCACTATATTTCACCCATCATTGTTTCATCCCAGATTACACGTCTACTTCAAGTATAATAACGGTATCTATCTTTTATTTACGGAAGTATCCTAAAAGATCTTTATTAACTCTCTTGACGCTGGGCAGTGGTACCGAGCAAGAATCCCCGCAACGTAAACACGCAGCGCGTCCGAAGTCGTGAAGCTCGTGCCGAAATCCGACAGAAGAAATACAGATACTTGTACCAAGTGCGCACCGCTCATGGAGACATCATAAGTCAGGTGAACCTGCCGGGCGGCGATCGTCGTCACTTGCCACTGACGGCTTCATCTTACTCTGACACGACCACGCTAGAACTTGACCCGCCTTTTACCATGTCCGAGACTTCAGTGGCTACAGATACCGAACATTCGGTCACGTCTGTCCTTGTCGAAGCGTCCAAACACTGCTCGCCTGCTCGGTAGCAGAAGTAAATATTGTCTTGAAAATAAATATTTTATGGTCGGTGCAGCTCTTCCGTTTAATTTCAAGCGAGCGATATCAATGTATTGTAAAACCACAACACGCAGTACGATCAATCGTTAACAAAACTGTTATTTTAACTTAACTCTAAAGTGTAGGAGACCATTTCCAATTTTAAGATGAAATCAGAATTATCACAGATAATAAAAATGTCATATCTTGGGAAAGAATAGGTTCTGTTTTCATGATTGAATCAACCCTTTATCAATGCTATGGTAATCAAAATGCCTTCCGATAGTGTATCGGAATAGATTAGTAGCATTGGTTATGCATTTATCTCGGTTCGTGTCTCACGAAAGTACCGTAAGATAGAATTTATTATGAAGAATGATCTCTAGAAGTTTTATTTATTAAGCTGTTCAGTTGAACAGTTTGCTCATGATCGAATTATTCGAAGTTAGCCGAAAAAATTCACATTAGGTAAGAGTGTGTCTGTATAATGAAAAATTTTATAGATATGAAATTTATTATTGAAAGATATATTGAGCATAATATTGGCGCACAATCGCTTGAATTTAGTGTGGTTTTAGTCCGCTATTAATTAGACAGGCCCCTCATACAGTACATATCACCGGGACCACCTGTGTACGATATCCGCCTGCCATGTGAATGGAATTGTTTTCCTTACGTGGATATTTTAGATGTGCTTCTCTGGTGCTATCACTCGCACAATAATGCTTAATTGTAAAGGCATTCTTCGAATTCACCTTGCTTCAAATAATCGATCTTTCATACACCATTTGCATTCACCTACTCATTGTCTATCTGAAATTACACGACATTACTGTCTTCGATTTCACTGTCATTCGAATGTTAGTGCAGTTTTGGTTTACGGTCAGAATAGTTTTTACTGAGTAAACCTGTGCTTGGCACTCGCTCTATGTCGATGCTCGCTACCACTGCCCTGGGCCAAGTGGGTGGGTGCCTGCAAGCTATAGGGATGCCTGAAGCTTGCCACGTCACTTAGTTGGGACATCACCACGACATCTCCATCATTATGACGTCCCCAACATCCTCATCATTCCTTGCCTGATGTCATCACTGGTACTGAAGATCAACATCACTTCATTTCATCTCATGTCGTCCTGCGGAGAGCTTGCGCCTGTTCTCTAATGCTCTCGTGCTTTTACTGCTGCATTCGCTGCAGCTTTTAGTGCTTTCTAAAGGTATGCTTTGATTTTTCTCGCTGTATGTAATTATACTGACGGCAAATATGCAGACTGTTGCTTGTGTAATTGTTTTGCAACCGTTTGAAATAGAATGAATTTGTGTTATCGTCGACTTCACTGATTTTCGTTCCGTTGAGATTGACTGAATTTTATGTTTAGTTACGATTTAAGACACGTCATATTAATCAATCATTAACCATTAATACTTTGTATTGGAAACTGCCAGACTCTCTGGAAACTGGCAAATGACGTCGAATGGATGCATTGTCATAGAGTATTAATTAACTTGTTCGTCTTTCTTCTGACCATATCCTTAAGGTAGTTTATATAGCGCTCAGTTCGGTGTAAGCTAGCAGAACTACTGCCACGACTTCTCTATTACTGTCTAGCATGCAAGTGCTAGTTATCTGCAGAGCTCTTAGCATTAAAAACCTCACAACAAAAAATCTCTGAGAGTAGAAAAGAATAGTCGAGCCAATTTGTAAATTAACGAACTATCGTCTTCTGTTATCGCATTTTTGTGGAACCTTGTATTCTTTCACATAACCGCGTTGCTTATAATTTTTTTTCTGCGAGTTGAAGTGTGTTTTTTCATGTAAAGCAGGTAGTTTTAGTAAGAGTTATTTGTGCATGTGCTTGTGTAATGCATTGCTCCGCTTTGAAAAACTTAACGTTGAATCGTCAAGCCAAAATTGCATATTCTGTACTATAAGGTTTCTATTTCAAAAGTTGATTTATGTAGATTGATGCGTATGTTTTTAGCTGCCCCGCGGTACAGAGCTTACAGATAAAATTTTTTTATATGAGATGGAAAATGTCTGATCTTGAGATAAATTTGTGTGTGAAGTTGCTTTGTTTAAACGCTGCCAATTTATTGTTACGCTGAAGAATTTCACAACATTTAATTATTTAATTCTTAGCAAATTTGTTCCAACATTGTCGAGACAACGTTTAGAGACCAACGTTCCACTGCTCGTATGGTGATGCGAGTTAAAAGTTTCTACGAGTTATCACAAATTACATTCGAGTTAACACGAATTACAAAGGTTTTAAGAATTATGTATGGTTTTTCATGTGTGTAGGACGATTTGAATTAATCGATAAAATATAGTAATAATTGCTTTGTTACAGGAGTACATACAGTCGCTGCAGCGGAAGGCTTATCCCGCGGCGTGTGACAACGGCACCTTGCAAAGCGACTCAACTCACACAACCATGCTGCCTCCCGACCACGCTCCTCTGGCTCCGCTTACTGAGAGTGAAGACGAGGGTGGCACGTCCTGCTCTAGAGATGGCACTGACTATCAGCAACAACGTAAAGGGCCTTCAGGCCAAACAAACATCAGCATTCACCCACATCCTCAGCAGTATCATCTTCAAAAGCAGCGATATCAGCAGCAATTTCAGCAACACTTCAAGCCGTGTGAACAGTATTCTCAGAGGGCCAGTCAATTGGAATATCCTGGTCCCTCCCGAGTGAGTGGCCCAGTCCACTATGGTCTTCATGACCATAGACGTGACCCAGCAGCTCCAGCATTCGAGTCCGCATCTCCTGAGGGCTCGCACTCTTCACAGTCTCCCGACGAGCACTACAGTGAGCTGCAGTATACTCCATCCCCTCATTCCTCATCCCCCGGCAACTGCAGGCACGTTTCCCACAGTCGATGTCAAAGCACCCCACCTCCTTCACCCCTGTCAGCTTCACCACCCTCTCCTCCAAGACCTCATTGTGTTCCCCGCTAGAAAGCGGCCGGAGATCAATAATGAGATGTTCAAGAGTTGCTCCTTCAATAGAAATTTCACATTGTTTCAGTATTGTTGTGGTATTCTGGAATCAGCCGGATACAAGGTTATTTTCTTTTATTAAATTAACGTGTGTAGGGCGTTTTTTCGTGCTCAATTAGAGCTCTATTGGGGAGAAATTAATGAAATGCATTAATATGTATTCGAATTTTCTAAAATCATGAGTCATCTAGAAGTGACTATGAATGTTGCTGTATTCCTGATGTGAAGTGTTTTAAACTTGGAGTGCTAATAAAAGGAATACATCGGTAGATGAGATACTTTAATTTTTTTTGACAGGACCTAAACCGTACGTTAAAAAAACATTTTTTTTCAGTTGCACTACTGCTATTATTCGTTTTGTTCTTAAAAACTTGCAGAAAAGTTTTTTCTTTGTTATTTTGATTTTTTTACGATTTAACAGATAATCAAAGATGATAAACTAGTAGGACAAAACGCTTACATGAATGCGAATCACGATTGAGTGCAGCTCGTATCGTCACATTGCCTTTGATGCAATTCTTTAAAAAGATCCATAATTAGATGATGCTCGAGCTGAAATTCATGATAAATCAAGTGTAATGTTTTGCATCGAGTACTCAATGTTTTAAGTCTAATATTTTTACAACTAAGGCAATTATCCTGTACCGTACTCTGTGTGTTTGAAATTCATCTACAATACCTGTATCGGTCAATGGTGGGTAAATGATTGTGATGCTTTTGTGAAGCGGAGATACATTATCGCCACTCATTTATAATTTGAAGCGCAGACATGCAGCGCGCATTACCAGAAATTATATGCTATTTTTATTTACACTGGAGAAATGTGATTCAAAATCGATTTATGTATTTATATCGACTTGAAGACTGATCGACTGTTAGATCTTTCGGCCACCTATATTAATTGTTAAATTTTGCTTAGGCCCCTTAACTTGAGCTCCGCGCATTGTTTTCCAGGCTATATTGCATTGTGATAAACTCAAACTTTGGGTTACGAGGCTTCTTGCGACTTTTTGTTGTGTTAATGAGTTCTTTGCGATGAAAAGCTGCTCAACTGTTGCACATAATTTTCAAGGATATGTACGCTCCTTGCCGCCGTCGTAAGAATAGATCCGTAAATTCGTTTTCCTTTCACCTAGTGACCCATCATTTGAATCTTCATGTTGTGTCGTTTTAAACTGACATAATGTTGGAAATGTGCTGTCGCTGAATGTGTGGTGGTATTTACGTGACACGCGTCTCTGTGTAGCTCTGGATTATATTTTTTGGATGTACATCTCGTAGCTGCTCAATCTTATTTAAACTTTAGGCGAGAATTAGCGAAATCACGATGCTGATCTCATTTTTTACATTATGTTTGTTGTAGATATGTGTTATCTTTGTTTAAATGTTTATTGAGGTCATCAAATATGTTTCTTGAATTTTTTGCCATACTAGCAGCATTTTCTGTTGCCAGGTAGCTTCCACTTTTTATTCTCAGAATTTTGAATTTTACCCAAAGCTACTCTATGTATAATGGAAGTCAAACAATTGCTATCCACGTCCTTGAGATTGTTTGGTTGGAACACACTGATTTGTGCCTAATATTTCTTTCCTGGAGTCATTTCTGACGAAGATGAAGCTAGACGATATCGCGATTGTGTTACATTTATTCGGTTCGCTGACAATAATTTGAAGCGGAGATGAAAGTGACAATAAGTTGTAAATCTTGCATAATAGTTTTCGCGGTGCATCCAACCTGAAATATCAGGTGAGATCTCAGACTCGATTGACAAGCTTAAGCCGTGCTACAAAATAAACAGATTTTTCAGAGAACTTTTAACTATGCCATTGTCGGTTCCAACTTCGTTGTTGTGCGATGATGAAAACAATACGAAAATTTGTTATTTGTAAATAAATTCAATCGGCATGCGAGGACTGAACGAGTCATTTTTGATCGTGTTACTGACCGTATTGCATGCCTGGATTTTCTATACAGTCGAGTGAATCCGTATCAGGATCCGGCGGACGACAAATTTCAGATTCCGTGAGCTGCCTACGTTATTGCTAGAACATGGATTGTCGACAGGTAAGTTGAATGTCGTTTTCAGCAACATGATTGGCATTAGGAATTACTGGTCAGGTGTTCGCTAATGTAAATTACTTTCAGTGGGTTTAAATTATTGCGATGACCGATGCATATTCATTCAAATCTACGGTGTCCCTAGATCTAAAAGGAGTTTTATGATCATTTGCATTGAATTTCGAGTTGAGAGGAGTCCAGCGTATGCACGCAAGCTACGCAAGGCATGCATGTTGACGTAGGGTTTCTTACAAATAAGAGTTCATGAAGTCCTGTGAGAATGTTATTCCGTGTGTGTACATATTTATATATATATTTATCTAATTAGGAATGATGTAGCTGCTTTCTATCTCCATGTCCAACCAAAATCGTCCATTTTGTAATGTTCATGATACAAATTTTAAAGTTTCTCTCGTCCGAATAATTTTGATGACTCTAAATTTCCCCGTTCTTGGAGCACTCTGCACACTTCTGTCAAAGACGATTATAAAAATTTCTTGGTTCATCTGCAAAACATTTGAAATCAAGTTTGGCTAGCATTTCTGAATTGTGGATTTATTCTTCGCATTATTGCAGCGGATAGAGTGCGTCCGGGGTACTTAATGATTCAGCTTCGAAGCTGATCACATGTTCATTTATGGATCGAACGCGTCACATAAATTGGAGATTTAAATTTTGAGGGATAAACAACGTGCAGCTTTGAAGACACGTTGTAGCGATGTCATACATCGTAGGCTTGAAAGGTCTTCAATGTCAGATATTTTGATGTGACCGGAAAGAATCAAACTCTTGGGCCACACGTGAACTGTAAATTTTGTGCTTTGGAATTGTTCAGTTATGATCTTGAGTGCGACTTGTAATGGCGAAACTGATTGCTCGTTTGAGCGGCGCTGAGTGTTCGAGCTGCTCACAACCAATGTGTTTCCACTTCCACTTAAAAAAGTAGAGTGCGGCATGATATTTTACTGTCCCCCTTGATGCAAAAACTCTCATATTTTAACTGGATTTTTTACGCGCGTTCCCAGAGGGGTGTTGTCTTATTCCTTTACATTCGTCGAGTGAATTTACGTTACTGGCCTTTGAAAATTACTGGTCACAAGATGGACTTTGTTCCTGGACAAATTCCAGCAAGTAAGCTCATTTCTTTATCGGAAATGCGCTTAAATGGGTAAAGGTCCTTAGACATCATTATAAACTTTAATTCAATATGAAGGTTATTAAGCTTAATTTTCCCCAGTACAATTTATTGCACACCACACACTATTCTACCCAAATCTTTGCCGCTGAAGGATGCACCTTGAAATTAAAATCTTGCTACGCAACAGCATTACTATGCACTACAGTATCTCACTTTAATCCATCAAAGACGCATCAAAACATACCTGTATTGATACATGCATCATGTGTGGAAACAATTAAGTTATCTAGCTAGTTTTTTTGCAAGCTGAACGAAGAAATGCCAAGAGTGGTTAATCACTGAGGAGACAGGCTAGGCTGGCTGCGTTTCTTGAAATAATTAAAATGACTAGGATTATACTTCACTATTATCTTGCATAATCCGACTATGAAAATTAACCTCCCAATCTAGAATGTCCTCATACAACTGCTCATCGCTCTGTGACTATCATCTTGTAGGTCGTACCGTTATTTGATCAATGGCCATTTCGGACTACATTTGCATGACGAAACTTATACGTTACCGTTTTACTCTGCTACGTCGCAAACGAGAAACAGACACAGCTAGCCTCCGCAAATAACAAGGAGGCAGGAAGGGAAAAAGCTAGAATATAAGGGAAGGAATTTACTAGAAACTAAAGAATGTCAGAACAGATATGGAGCGTTGAAAATGAAATACATGGCACACGCTCGGAAATAGTGGCACACAATTTGAATGCTCCATGGCAGAACACAAAACTACCAAACCAAAAATACCAGCGTAACACAAAACAACTACAACTACGCACTGAACACAGGCAGAGTAAACAATGTAAGTAAAACTAATTAAGAAATTACAGCCGAACATATGTTGCCAACAGGGCTAATTAAAAATGACTGTGTTCTCACATGTAAACACGTACAACTAAAGAATTCGAGCGTTAAGCTTTTAATACAAAATCGAACATATCACCACCAGAGTAAAGGAAACTAAAAACGGTTTTCGGAAGCTTGAGCGATTTTGGAATGTTCGTTGATGATGTAATTAAATTGAAGAATAAAATCCAATTTCAGAATGCGGTCTATCGTTGTGAACAAATTTACTGAAGCCTAAAAAGCAAGCGCAAAAATAACTATGACTTGGAATGGAATGTTAAGCAAAATGCTGTGCCGAAGAATGTCTTTGATGACGCACGTACTATAATCGATCGCACATTGTAATTAACGAAGCATATATTCGCCAAGGGCTCAGAGAATATAAGGAAAACACAGCAAAACGAAGGAAGAAATGTGTTCTTGTTCGTATCGTGACAAGTAATTAAACCGAGATTAACTCTATAAGAATCCCTCGATAAAGTATAAGAGTTCCTCGCAAGTAACAAAGTGAAAGGAGAAACTATTGTGTCTTGAAAGCTGCTAATACAAATACAATTAATCCTCTGACAAAAATATATTTCTTCAACGTTAATTGAAAACTAAAAAAACTACGCGCTAAATGCTCCTGCACTTCTTGAATCATAGCAGCTGCCAAACAAGCGAAAATTATCAAACCAAAACCAGAGACCCGGTCTAATGTATCAGCATCGCGGCTACTGCAGGCGGCTCTCTTCGCTCGACACGTAAGGGTTGATCTGGTGACGGTACGTGCGGGCGATGAAGAATCCCAGGATCTGCAATTCACAGCATTACTAGCATTTTTAGGTTTGCTTGTGCTTATGGTGAAAATTAGTGAAGCACAATTTTCAATGGTTATTCATGAAAACCAAAAGCTAGACAAGATATTACTTGCAAAACACATGATTAGGAATAAGGCACAATTCATAGATTTAACTTGTTAATAGCAAGATATCAACACGAACATTGTACAAGGCACAAGACAGTCAGTCGCATATTAATTCTACGACGGGTAAAAACACATTTAGGTTATTCATTCAGGTAGAAATCGGCCGGTGGCGAGTTTTGATGATTGAATGACACACAACTCCGAAAATAGAGCGTTAACGTGCAAAATCGTCCCATCAGATCAGAGTTGATGGCAAATACTCAGTTATGTCTGAAAATCACACAATATTGAGAAGTGCGGGAGTATTATCATGAGAATCTTCGACGACAAGGACACCCACGTTAGTGATATGAGAGTTTATGACTACACAAACTTCTTACCCAATTTTTTGGAAAGTCAAAAAAAAAAAGAATAGAGGAAAAATATAACTCAGTACTCACTGCAGTGAGTGACAGAGAGCGCATTTTCTCATCGACGAAAACTTGAGGTCACGGACGGACGGACAGACAGACAGACAGACAGACAAGACAGACGGACTTGGCGAGCACATTAGTGCATTTTTCCATAAATGAGAAAATGCGCTAAAAACTAACTTCTTCGAACACGCGAGTATGTCGGAACACAACACGAGACGAGTACTAAAACAAAGAAGGGGAAAAAAATAACTTAACACTTTTCTGTGTGAACAGTTAATTTTTCTGGAATCTAGTCTAATTTGCATGGGGTTGAAACGAGAAATTTAGATGCAAGGTTAAATAGCTACAGACCATTAAATGTGCTAATTTGAGACTAATGATGGAAAAAAATCTCCAAGACAATTCATTAAGTGACATTTCATAGAATTATTTTTTGAAGAACTATTTATTTACAGAACCATTCTTCATCGTTCGTGACACTTATTATACATGTGACATTAAAACCCACACCAAGGAACAGCTTAATTCAGCCAACAATAAATATGTTTAAAATTTTAAAGCAACGCGGCGTGCTGAGTGCCAAGTTATGATTGTAGACAGGTTATTGAACACATCATCCAGGGATAGCATAATAATGTTGGGCGAACGGTTGGGCGCTTATGGTTAGATTATATAGGAGTATAACATTTATTATTAACAATGAAAAAAAAATGCCAATTAAGCGCCAAGTTTTAGGAAGCATGACATTTGTACAGTTTCAACGTTCCAGCGAACAATATAAAAGCAAGGCGAGAAGTGAACCAAACATAATTTGAAAAGTGTAAATTTGACATAGGAGATTAATATATACACTAGGTGAGTGAGAAAGGTTCCCAAAACACGATATAAATAAAAAATGATAGGATGTACAACATCGATGCATGAAGAAAGAACTACATGCGGTGTATTATTGACAGAACCAACGTGAAAGCTATTAATAAAGGCATCAAGCACCCATATTAGAACATGCAATCGAAAGTTACCTTCCGTTAGAATCCGGAACTTCCGTTAGTGGTTAGTACATGGAGACGTAATTGCTGGAGCTAACGTCAGCTTGTACAGGCAAAGTTGACATGGAGCGATGAATTGACATCCTTGCTTGTCATGTGAAGATTAAACGTGCATGACATGGCAGCGGATAGTTTCCTATACAATGGGCAACGAACCGAGTGGTCTCTCGAAGTAGTTGAGTTCATTCGGAATTGCAAACTTGGAGCCGTACAAAGCGTTTACTGTTTTGCTTTAGTACACAATGTAATTAGTATTACGTTCCTACAAACCCTTGAGACTTCAAAAAAGAGATATAAGATAGAATGAAGAGAAGAAAAACTGGAGAAAACGCAGGCAAAATTGAGAGCATCACAATTTCAAACCGTCATGTCAGATGGAAGAAAATAAAAACATCAAGATAGTTATTATAAAAACGGAGCTCAAGGGGGAAATTCTCAAGTGTAAAGGTATGGAGCTGAGCATTTATCAACAGCTTAGTGATAAAATGGCACGTAAATATTAATAATGGCAAGAATTGTTAATATTTATCTATGGGACAATAATTCCCTGGCTTAACTAACCAGAAGTAATCGAGTAAAGGCTGCTGGTGCTGGTGTGAAAAAACCACATACAAAAAACACATACCAAGTGTCACGTGTCGCGTTTATGACTAGGAGCATGAGTTTGTACTCTTCCGTTCAAGAGATTGACAATACAAACAATATTTCACTACTCGAGATGAGAATAAAGTCAATCAATATTTATGTATTATAAAATAAAGAAAATGTTTAACTAGAATACAGCGCAAAAATATGGAGTGACTCGAGGCAACCAATGTTGGTAAAGAGGAGCATTAACGTTAACATTAGATTACATTATCAACCAGATTAGTTTAGTTAGAAACAATGCATCGAAAGACAGCTTCCCACATCTACAGCGATAGAAGAAACTGCAGCACATTACTGTTCTAGTGCTGCAAACTGAAACAAATTCAATAAACATCAGGTATTGACATCGCCAACTGCAGGAAATTTCGACACTACACTCGTAACTCAGAATATCGAGGACTCGTTGCAGTTTTAATGTGAGCAAGAATTTCAGGCATTAGGAAATTTTTGGAGCTGCAAAGTATACGCACAAGGGAAAAATCGAACGTAATAAGAAAGAAGAAAAACTGAGATAAAAAAATACGTCAAATAAAGTGATGCTTCTGAACGAGTAAAATGACGATCACAATAGAAAGACTATTCATACATACAGTTTAATATTTCAACATACAAAATTTACGTGGCATCAACAACGTCGATTCGTCTTTATTCAAGGCGGTACGATTATAAACTGCCTTTGTAAGGAAAACAGCGTACTTTGCGGCTTAATGTAACGAATGAGCGAAACAAAAATTCAGAAAAATTTAAAATCCAACACTGAGCGAAAATCCAAGAACGAAAAACGGTTAAAATGTCACGAATGCCGTCAGCTAGACAGCGTCAGACCAGCGAGCTCGAGGCCATGAAGAATCGCTACAAACGCGAACTCTATACGTTGTTGGCAACTCCATGTTTCACAATGTTTCAATGCACAGAATGTTTTTAGAAGACTTAATAATAGGAACGCGAGGATGACCTTAAAACTGAAATGAAATCTAACAATTAATTAAGACTAGCAAACATTTGATCGTATGGAACTCAGTAATACGTAAGCACAAACCCACACAATAGTTGCTACAATCACGAAAAACTAGTCATTTGATCTACATATTAAACATGACTCATCTTGAGGAACACCATCTCTTATTTCTGACAATAAAATCTAATTATAGGGATTATATAATTTGATTATAGATCAAGAATCCTTAACTGTCTACAACCAATTAAGGTGGCAATGTAAAGGGTAAATTCCATAGAACCAAAATATCTCGGTACTGAATTCCCAACGTCACGATGTATTCCTACACTCAAACAAACCGTTGCTGTGGGATCCCAAAAAAGCAGGGGAAAACACATTAGCTAAACAGCGCTACCAGAACGGTTTCTGCTGTGGCCTAGAGAATAATATATATGAAGGCTATGAGTGAATATTGAGTAATAGCAAGACGACATTGTTACCAATAACAATTCAGTTAAGGCCTAAGACTCTAATTTGATCTCTATTACTAGAATCTATAAATTTATTATTCAACTGCTATTATTCTATAATATTCAGTTTATTATTCAATTAAATATTTCAACTGCGGTTCTCTAAAATACAACGTCAATAGTTTCGCATTTGATGCATTCATATAGTCTTTCATTACCAAGTCCAAGAACGCTAAACAAGTCAGCGTGAAAGTTATCAACACGCATAGAGGACAAACTAAAATCTGTCAATAGACGCCGGGAAACAACTTGCTCATCTGTCAATAGACGTCGCAAGGTCACTCATGCATCGGCCAATAGAATCAATGGAGGCTGTATTTAAAAGAGTTCATCAGCGCACTACTGTACGCAACATGATAATTCAATAATGAACAACACTCGCTAACTAAACTAAAGCATAATTCAATTGCGTGATTAATAAATCGCGACGTTGAATTTAGTTAACGAGTTTAGAAATTCTAATTTAACGCCTCAAAAAATAAAAAAGACAAGAAAACATTCGTATAATTTAAAACAATTCCTTTTCTATCATAACTCTAACAATGCCCATATATGTGTTTACATAATAATAGATATGAAGATGTTCATTTCAAAAAGGCAAATGGTTAGAATATGTCAATAAAACAATGACGATATAATGAATGGCCATGTCACCCCATACAAAAACCATGGTCAAAAGAAAGCCGCTCATTCCTTCCTTTGTGACGGCAAGCGATTGCAGGAAATTCAGACCTGCAGTTGTCAAATTGAACAAAAAGATAAATTCTCAAACCACGAAGAAAATTGAGCGATCGAATCGATAATTGAGTTATTTCGTCATGGCGATAGCTAGGCGCTTTACAAAGCGTTGAAAGAACAAAGCTAAGCAAATACGCCTGAGAATTTCAACAGCAACAATCCAGTACCTCAAGATGAAGTCGAACCAAACAGTGAGATAAAACCGAGGTACAGAGGAAGCATTGAGGAAAATTTCGATACAAAACGGAGTACAGAAAATTCAAAGAGAGAATAGTTAACAGAAAAGGAAGCTTGAGAACTAAACTAGTTATGATGAGCAAGTGTAGTAGATAAACTGGGACAGTAAAAACGAAAAATAAATCATTTACTTATGAATTATAGAGAAAATAATTCAAGGAGTTGTATTATTGTTTGTCGGAGAATATTATAGTCTGGTTACTGGCGGCACTCGTAACGTCATCGAAAATGCAACCTATGAAAATAATGGAAGAGGATGTGGAAGAAGTGTGATTCGCGGAAAATGTGTGATTCCAGAAAGAAGTGTGATTCAATAATGAGTGTCTATTCAGGAAATTAGATTATGGGCAAAGTAATGATCATAATATAGTCTTGGTTTAGAGAAATGCAGATGGGTTGGCCCGAGGGTCGCGTTGGTTCCTGTAGCGCACTGTCAGCCATACGCCTAAGAACTGGACACCCAAAGACTTCAATGAACGACTGAGAAACATAGACTTAAGAATACATTATTGTATGAAAGCTAAAGAATTTAAAAGTGAAAAAAGCCAAGTAAATTCGTTATATCTTCATTCATTTGATGAAGACACTATGAATTTACTTATGTTTTTTTAGCATTTAAATTCTTTGTGAACTTGCAATACACGTACACAAATGATATACATAAATAATTTATATGCGTACAGTTACTGACTAGAGAATGCATTATAATTTTAAAGGAGTCGAACAATTCTTTAGATGACGTTGGTAGAGCAAAGGGCAGATTTAGCAAATAATAATATATTAACGACGTTTTGAATGTAGCAACATTCATTTTCATGGAGATTGTTTGCGTAAGGACTTTCTGGCTCGAAATTTTTGTGTTGTATCCTATTTACGTGTATTATGTACTTAGTCCAACAAAATTTCACTATTCAATGCTTCTCTTAACCTGAAAATGAATGTTGGTACATTCGAAACGTCGTTAATATATTATTATTATTTGATAAATCTCCCCTTTGATCCACCAACGCCATCTGAAGAATTGTTCGACTCCATAAAATCATAATGCGTTCTCTGGTCATTAATTGTACGCATATAAACAAGAAAGTTCTGCTTTCTTATTATATCATAAATGATTGTACACAAACATGTTAGTACTCATGTCTCGCATAAGAAATAAATTAGTAAGATCACATCATGCATATAGAAGTTGATAGGTTATGTTATACGAGTAGAGTAGAACGTACGTTTTAATTAAACTACAAAATACTGAAAATTGCTGACCCAAATTAGTTTAAAAATCTAGGAACTATGTTTGTGTTCCTTGCATGCATTCATAAGCAACGTAACTTATAATGTTAATAGTTGATGATCCGTTAGTTCATTAATAAATTATCTGTAATGATGGGAGTTTGCAGGAAACGTTTCCAAAGTGTTTAGAAGGATAGAGTACAACATAAATTCAGGACAAAAAACATGAATAAATTATATTACGGTGTACTTCTATTCAAAGACAAGACAATAAGTCAAACAAATGTGACCAATATAAGGTTGGTGTTATAAGAAATAAAATTTTCAATTTTTTTGAAGCTACATGTCTGATTTCAAAAATACTACAGGAATTAGAAATAAAAAATAAATAATAACATTTTCAAATGTTCACCAAGCAATAATCTGGAATATTTTCTCTTTCTTTTGCTGTGAAAATATAGAGGAAATTAATTGATGACGCTTACCAGCACTGAGTGAACATAGAAACGTAAAAATAAAAATTACTTTTAATGTATATACTTGCGATGTAATGAAAAATGTAATTTTTCTTCTCACAAAGTGCCACTTAAATTACATAAGAACAAGTTTGACGGACAAGACATTATCAAAATATCTCATTAAAAATGTTAATAATAATTCATCAAGACAGTCCATATTTTCAACCATTCAGTGTACAAAATAATCATAAGAATGTAATGAAATACGAGACCTCACCTCGCTGAAGGAGAAGAAGAGACCTACACCACCGACAGCACTGAAGGCCTGGCCGATGGCGGTCATAAGTCTGGGCTTGCACACCGGACACTGGCATGAGTTGTCATCCGTGCAGCAGTTGGCCGCAGTGGCTCCAGGGCAGCATTCCACACCTTTGTCATTCTTAACCTGCAACAAGAGTCGTGTCATTATTCAAACAGTCAAGAAATGAGCGCATGGAAAAAATATATAAGACTTGTAATAATTAATCTTAAAGTTATTTATTATATTTTTTATTAATTGCTTATTATATTGCAAAATAGTTGCAATTTATAATAATTGCTCTTTATATGCTTATATGGACACAGAGCAAAAATGATGAATAATTGTAATGTTTAAAAAAATTAAACTGAAGAGAATTAGGCACCACAGACAGTGGCAATGTAGTAACGGTAATTGTTATTTTTTATATGTATAAATTTTAATGACTAATAAAAAGTTGGATGAAAATGTGAAATCAATTGTTACCCATTCACAAGGGTTGTAACGTAGTACGGTATAACAACTTCGTGAGAAAGATAACCCCCATTGATGAATTACTCTAACGAGTCAAGCTAATGCAGCCAAGAGTAATTAAAAATTATCTTCCCTGCTAAAATGAAAACATTTGCATTTCATATCAACATATTTTCAGTACTAAAAATTGCAAAAATTTTTTGCTTCCTAATGGTTTTAGCTCATGATAAATGCATGTGATGCTCAGCATCACATGCATTCATCAGAGCCATAAAATTTTTCTGATGGCTCCAAGACTTGCATGAAATAAGTTGAACTCTCACCATGGTGCACTCGGGGTGCGTGTAAGACGAGTTTGTGAGGGAGTCATACCCACAGCAGTTGTACACCATCTGTGCCTCCCTTTTTAGCTCATCACTAGATGCACTCCAACCCTAAGTTAAGAAAACAGCTGCTTAAATAAAGCTCAATCAAAATATAGCAATCATTTGAAACGTAAATATATTTATTTATCAGAAATAAGTGACAAACATAGGTACAAAATTTATCTACATTTCACCAGTTTATGAACTTAACTAATTAATTTATATTTTCATGCAGAAAGTCAGTCAATGCTTATAATTTTTTGTTCATTGCAGATGAAATTTGTTTGGCTTGACTTTAAAACCACATTAATTTGTATCAATAGCAAACAAGATTATGCTTTACCTTGTTTAATGCAATCTCTTGCTGATTCTCATTTATGGCCAAGCAAGCACATGCCACTCCAAACTGGATCACAAATATGATGAAGAGAACAATCATGTAGAAAAACAGGAGTACCTGTCAAGAAAATGAGAAATGGCAACAATTTGTTTAAATGGCAAAGATCTCTGAATGTCGAAGGTTGTATTACCAGAATAATATATAGATGCCTAGAATAATGCTTCAAATACTTCTTCAATAACATTAAATCATTTTAGACATTTTCAAAATTAGAATGAACCTTTCAGAGCGATTGTTTTATAGTATAAACATACTTACCTGATGGTGTCTGGATGCAGCGATTAGGCCAACAGTTGAGATCATAAGCAAGAATACACCGCATGCTATAATGCCGGACACAATCGCCAGGGATGTGACAATGGCTGTGTACTTCGCAGCACCAGCCACACCAATCAGCAATATGGCCACCAGCTGCAAAGATACAAATTAGCACAATCAGAATGTTTTGTTACAAGAAGTGCATCTGAAAAGAACTTTACTATGAAAAAGGTTAGATGTCAGCAATTTATATATTTTTCAACTATTTAAATTTACATTAACTCTTGAGAATACAATTTTTTGAAGAGCAGTATATAAGTATTACTAATTTTTCACTTTTACAAATTTGAGCTATGTTAAAATGGCTTGCTGGACTGGACTGTACATATTGAAATATGTCATTAATTATCTTGACATAAAAGTCGCTACTTTCCAGTTTAAAAGTTCAAATGTTGAATTCAATAATTTTGAAAATTGTTTCACAGCTCATAAGCACTGTGCAACAAACTTGCTTGAACTTATTTTCACAGCTGTGAATTCAATGGAATAGTGGCTCAGTCATGGCTAAGAGAATACATTTTTCCTATGCAAGTTTGGAGCAGAGAATTTGGCATAATCAAGTCTAGTCCTATGACAAACAATAATCTTTATAGTTGCTCTTTCTTATTTGTGTTTAAGCATAAAAATTTTCATGGACACCTAGATAAGAAATGAAATCTTGAAGTACTAGTACGTAATAAGTCAGGAAACTGAAAATGAAGTGGCATCAAAAAATTCTTGTTTGTCATAATGCTTTTTATATAGTTTGAGATTTAATCACATAAATCAAATCTGTTTGCAGCCTAACTCATTTCTCTATTTAGTATTGGCATTCAAAAATTTATGCCAATAAGAATAGGCATTAAGTCTTCAATTGACGTTCACAAAAGCTAGGTTGATCTTATTAGCATATGATGCTCCATAGATGCTAGAATTTCAATTTGTGATATCAGGCAGCATTGAACAAAAAAAAAGTATGCATAAAAATTCTCATTGCACAGCTTATTTTTTAAAATTGCCAAAAGAAATACATTTTCAGGGTTTCTTTCCTTAAAAGACAGTTGGGCAAACCCATAGGAATGAGTAAAGTTGTCAACAAGCAAGGGCAATTTTGTCTCAAAGATTGGAAAAGTCTAACTTACTACTAAAATATCATGGCTCCACAGTCCAAAGTGACATTCTCTAACCAAAATGGGCACATTCTTTGAAGAAAGTGGATTGAATATTTCAGGCTTGTCAGTAAATTCTTCTAGCATCAATCCCATCCAAAAGCTGTAAGCTATTGGCTATAATGAAATGAAGGCTACAAAAAAAAAATAGTGCTAATCAGACTGGAATTCTGGGATAGGTACCATCAACTGGGGTGACTTCGGCCAAATTACACTAGTTTCTGCCAATCAAATTCCTACAAATAGGAATGAGGCATTGATGGTGATTGTAAATTTGTAAATATATTACTGAAAGGTTTTTCTTTGAATATGTCATGTCTAAATTATGTCACTTTTATCGCTTAATAATTTTTTTTTAATTTGCTGGGTGGCCGATGTCACCCCGCGATGGGGTGACTTCGGCCACATGTGTTAAAACACAGTAAAATGATTTTGAGGCCGAATTCAACCATTAGCGGGGTGACATCGGCCACATAGGGTGTTTTAAAAAATGATAATCAATGCCACTGTGTACCTATTATAAAAATTGTAACACAAATATAAAACCCACATTTGTGAATCATATGCATCATTAAGGCTGCTTTCTGTTGATTTCAATGGCAGCTGGATGTGAAAGTTTGAAAAAATCTAGTCCCCATGGGATTTCAAGCATTCTTCAAAAAACCAATGATGCTTGATAGAGGTGCGACCCTTGAACTTACATAAAGTGCGACCCAGTTTGTCAAGGTACCGTAAAATGGGGTAACTTAGACCACTTTTATTTTTATAAATGATGCCATTTTTTTACTAGCTAAATTAAACTTGAATTGAAACATGCAAAATACAGGTCTATACTCTAGCTTCACTCACCACAAATTGCTGGCTCCTGCCTCTCATAGTCTTTATGTAATTTCAAAAAAAGTGGTGGTCTTTGTTACCCCAGCTCTTGGGGTAACTTAGACCGGGTGGTAANAGTCAGACTCTACAGAGTCTTATATATGGTAATTTTAACTTAATTTCCAAACTGGTCAATGTTACCCCGTCACGGCTGCCATTAGATGGTCACATTTCTCCCATTTGGGGGTGGTGCCCCCCATTTGAAAACTATGACACTTTCCTAAAATCTGTCTTTTGCATATGTAACTAGGAGAGTTCTACTACAATGCACCACAACCTGGAGTTATTTGGAGTTACGTATTTTACTAAAAAATAAACTTGATTTTACCACCCGGTCAAAGAAACCCTAAGGGCTGGGGTAACAAAGAAAATCACTTTTTTTGAAATTACATAAAAAATATGAGAGGCAGGAGCCAGCAATTTATGGTGAGTAAAGCTAGAGTATAGACCTGTATTTTGCATGTTTCAATTCAAGTTTAACTTATCTAGTAAAAAAATGGCATCGTTTTGGATAAAATGTGGTCAACGTTACCCCATTTTATGGTATATAAGATACCAAAATAGGTGAAACACGTCTGATTCCAAAATTCTTTTCGTATCTCAAAATATTGAAGTTTGCACTCAGGTTTTTTTTCTTTACAGTACTGTGGCATCCAGATTGTGTTGGTCAAGCAGGATATAAAATTATTGAAACAAAACAGTTTCCAATCGATAGATAAGAAAAAACTACATTGGATACCATTTTGTTCCAATCACATAACACAACTACAACAGAAACAGATAGCCGCAAAACAAAATCATAAACGTTGGCCAAAGTCACCCCGGCGGCCGAAGTCACCCCAGTTGATGGTAGTGCATAAAGCTTTTGTATTTTTGGGTGGATGCATGTTCATCTCCAGACTGTGATAGATTGTGATGTCATCAACTCCAGACTGATGGTTGTCTGATGGCCTCTCCAACATGCTATGTGTACTGGTTAATTTAATACTCTCTAGAATTCCAGCATTAATTAGCATTGCTATTTATTGCTGCAATTAGGGCCTGTTATAATGAGGAAAAAGTAGCTAAAATATGTTTAACTTTGGTCAAAGCTATGCCAAAATGTGTTCAGATGCCTGTGACAGCAAATAGAGATCATATTTCTTCTTAATTATATAATCTTCTGAACAATAGACATAATTTTATACATAAAACTTCAATTTTGCAAATATTTGTATTATCTGACTGTTGTCTGAAGTACAGTTGCAGAAATGGCGATAAAACCACCCAGTTTTTTTTAAATATTTTCTCTTACATAAAAAATGCAAGATCCTAATTATATGAGGTTAAACTACAATTAAAAATGGTTCCAATGCTATACATACAATATATGATTTTTTTCAATATATGACAAGAAATGATACAATTATAACACATAGGTTGCAAGGGTTATCAGACCAAGATATGTTTTCCTGTTTGTGGATCCCATAAACTCAAATTTTATTAGGCTGTCTTACCACCTTCTGTCTCAATTACCTCAATGCATCTTCTCCCCATGCTATTTACCAAATCATCCAGAGTCTTTTGAGAAATTTTATCCCAGGAACAGAGGACAGCCGTGCTTAGGTCACTTACAGATTGGAACTCGCTCATTTTGGTAAACAACCCATGCCATGATGCCCAAGGTTTTCAAAGGGGTTGAGGTCAGGACTTAGCACTGGTCACAGCATCAGGGCAATATTCTGCTCTTGGAACCACTTGTTTGCTGACTTTGAGATGTGAATCAAAGCATTTTCTTGCTGGAAAACATATGATTTGCCCTGTTTCTCAATGGAAAAAGGGAGAATATGGTGAAATAGTGTGTGCTTGCATGAATTGGAATCTTGTCTCCCAAGTAAAATGTCCAAGGTTGATTTTCTCTTTAGGCTAAATGCACTCCAAACCATGACCAAACCAACACCAGATTGCTGCTAGGAAAAGAATTCAGGTTCACAGTCTAGGTGGTGCGATAGCATTGCCAATCATCTGGACCACCAAGACTGAACTCTTTTTCATCACTGAAGATAATCTTGTCCCATCCCTCACCAATAAGCCAATTTTTTTCAGCAAATTTCAGTTGGGTGATGCGCTTTTGTTTAAGCATAGGGACATTTGGGCATAGGGACATTTTTCTTCAAGCATAGGGATGCTTTTTTTAGGCATAGGGATGGTAGCTATGATCATACGATCATAGCTACCATAACCAAAGCCGCTTTCTGACAGCCTGCAAACCTGTTTCTAGTTGCCTGGAACAGTTGCCTTCGAGTCATGCAATATCTCATGGATATGTTCTGCTGTCACATTAACTCCAGTGGCCAATTTTATAGAAGTAGAGATAGCCCCAGTTTTATAAGGCTCTGAAAACAATCACCTAACCCAAGAGGCTAAGATCCCTGATGGTTAATTTTGGGGTTGGTCCAGGATGCTTTTTAGATCTGTAGCCACCTAAATTAGCAAGAAATTATTGTACGTCAGTTCTTGAGCATTTTATTTCCTTTACAATGTCCCATTGGCTTCCACTGCATTTGCAAAGGCCAGAATCAGCTCCTTCTTGGCAATTCTAGAGGGGTAATATATTAACTGGTAAACATAGCAAATCGGAAAGCAGGACCCAAAAATCTGGAACGTTCAGCACACTTCCACTTTCAGTCCATCATCATTACTGATGAGTCTCTGCAAGATGCCACAGCTGTTTCATTGAAAAAACAGCGCTTGCATCATCACAGTAACAAGAATCCAATCAACGTTTGAACGCATCCAACATACTGTCACAGGGATCCAATCATCGCTAGAACGTGTGCAACGTTACAGGCACTGGAATCCAATCAGCGATAGAAAGCTAGAAGGGACCACCTCAAATGCACACAATGTTAACGCACAGATGCTAACTTAATGCGTAATGCTACAATTCTTATTTCAAGAGCGTAATACAATAGTGTAGTTATGTCATTATTGATGGAAATCGCAAAGAATAACATCTTCACTATGTACACTCACTCACAAATACATGAAAAACTGCCTATGATTTAATCCACAAATACATAACTGACCACCGATGCAATCAGCTGAGACATACAAGAGACATTTATGGGACAAGATCCTTTTGTTGTGATCAGCCAAACAAAAAACGTAAACAAAGAAGGTAGCAGGGATACCAACCGCACCGGCAACCAATGTGAAACCGACATCAATATAGTCATGTGAAAAAATGAAAGATACGAATTCTTCTATATTAAAAATTTATCAGTAACTGACATTCAACAGAAATCAGAATGGTTTAATAACCTTTGTAAATATTATACATGCATGCAGAATCAATCGTGTGCAACAGTGACAGGAATCTAATGATGGTTAGTGGTTAGTTCTCATTACGCAATCGGTGAGGTAACTACAGAACATTACTGCAGATAAAGCTCCTGAACTTCGAGACGATAATTAAGCGAAAACTTCATGTGATATATTGTGAGCCTTCTAAAGTTTTAATAATGAAGAAATCACAAGGTTCACCGAATCTAAAGGTTTGAATGCTAAATTTTTGACTTTTGAGTACTCTATTGACTATTGAGTCTATTCTAGTCAGTCAACTGTGAAGTGTCACGTTGTTTGTTGTGCATTGACTTCTTCGAGAAGTTTCTCCAACTGCCGAGGAGTTTCTCCTCAATTTGAAAGCTGAGGTAACGAATAGGTGCCATAAATGTTTTTTTAATATTTAATTTGAAACTATTATGTTGGGAGTAAATAGTATTTCCTTCTGTAGATCCATCCCTCTTGCTCATCTGTGAGTGACACGCGCAATTAACAATCTTGCATGGGACCTTCTCTGTGTTGCCTGACTTGACGTTCATACGATCATAGCTACCGTAACCGAAGCCAATTTCTGACGGCCTGCAAACCTGTTTCTAGTTGTCTGGAACATTTTTTTAAGGTAGAACGCTTTTTTTATGTGAACCACAAATTTTAGAATTCCAGCCTGCTTGGCATCAGTGTCTGTAAGTCTTGTTTCCTTTGGCATCTTTTCAACTTTGAAAAATGGAAATGAGGACACTGAACTGGACCAGAAGAATCCTAAATGGTGGAAATTAGAACATTCTTCATGTTGCTGTACTTTTTAATGTGAACTTATTATGGAAAGATACTAAATGCAGGTCTTCTAGACCTTTCCAACTAGGTTTAGCTAATTTTAGTTTCCACCATTCCTTCTTGTATATTTAAAATAAATATATTGTAGGTATGTATAGCACTGGAATTGTTTTTAAACATAGGTTTAACCTTGTATAATTAGAATTTTGTATCACTTTATGCATGAAAATTTCTTTAGAAAAAAAAACTAGGTGGTTGTATAACCATTTCCACAAGGCCACAACAGTAATTTGCACAAAATAGTATACTGTAGAGTTAAGGGGACCGGCTACCCTGAAATTTTCAATTTTGGCATTTTTCGGTTTTTGTGCTCATCTGAAAGCTGGAATTCTGCTCTTTCCAATGGTACCACTGCCATCGCTGTACGTCAATATTTACGTTAGTAAGGAAATTACCTAAAAATTTGATGATCATTTTTTTGAATTTCTGTCTGGTTCGTTTTTTATATGGGGGAGAAGGGGGGGGAGGGGAGAAAAATGGGATAAAACGCGCATAAAAAAAACTAAGGGGAAAATGAGAAAAGTGATCATCAAATTTTTAGGTATGGTCCTTACAAACCGAATGATACGTGTCTCGATGTTGTAGGATGATATTTGTAGGAGGAGATAGATTTTCTAAAGTACCCCTTTTTAGCCGTTTTCTACGAATTTCACGTTTTCTATCAATTTTTTAAAAAAATTCATAGAAGCAAAATGTTCTTATTTTTACATTTTACGTATGTATGTGAAGTTTCATGATGATCGGATGATAACTGTAGAAGTTTATCCGGAGGGTAGCCGGTCCCCTTAAAGTTACTACTAAGTGTGTTGAGCAATTCATGACAATGTTTAGCAGATATAATATACATAAACTTCAATCTAATATTTAGGTAGCAGATTTTCATCCCACATAGGTTACATAGGTATACCTATGCTAAGCAGGATACTGCAAAATGTTTTTCAGCCAATATTTAAAAATTGCCAACAAAAAAATGGTCATAGGGTAGGTAAACGCGGTATATTCCGACACATTAAGGACGCATCGAGAAATGAAAAACTATAAAAAATAACTGTATGCGTTACTCGAGTTCTGTTTGCTTTATGCTACTCGCAAAACACCGTACTATGCGCCAGCAACGATGAAACGTCACAAAATGTTGCCATATTTATTTAAAAGCCTTTAGAATGCAAACCTACCAAATCCCTATATTCCGACACTGTGTGTGGCCATATTTGGCACGTGGTGAGGCGTATTCCGTCCGCACTTCAAATTCTACTGATACGTAATGCCGTCATCCACGTGTTCGAATTCCGTTCGCTGTGTGAGCTGTATTGGAATACAACACGGCTTTGAATTAGAACACTAATGAATATTGAACGCAACTTAATTACGCTTTTAATTAACAACTATTAAGCTTTTAATTTAGCAAATTTTAATTTTTGTACATAGCTTGGAACGATCTGCGTGTGTCCAATTCAACTTGTGACGGAATTAGTTTTCATGTGTCTAAATCCATTTCTCAACTTAATCATCTATTAATTTATTTACCACTTGAAATCAGCAAATACAAGTATACTTAAAGGATTCCTAATATATTCACAGACGTATGTAGAAGTCTCAAACCATAACCTATTCTTCCTATACAAACAGTTATTCACTATTTGGTAGAGCAAGGTCAACTGTCAAATTTTACACATTTTTCGATGATCTCACTGGGTAGCGTGCATTGTCTCTCTTAGGATCTCAATATTTTCCCGCTAGATGGCCAAGACCTAGTGTTTTGGCAGTAGTTTGACGCGTAAATGTATGACGTCCACTGTGCAGAGAGTGGATGAATATTGCAAGATCTTTGGCAACGCTTCAGTAGCAAAATTTATGCCTTCAGAAGATCTTGCCGACACATTTAGATTGAAATTCTTTCATTTAATATATTTGTTAGTCTTCGGACAACTATTTAAAAAAAGTAAGGTTTCCGGTATGTTGGATCGATCTGATTCGATCAGTATGCCTATGCAGTGAAGCTTGTCCGGAAATCAGTTGCGATGAGTTCCCACCAAAAAAATGTAAACATCAAGTTTACGATTACCGCCGATTACGTAGTTGTGGTCACATTAGAGTGGTCAGACTGCATTATCACATCTTTCACATGTTCAGTTGACACTTGCTGTACAATCGGACTGTTTTTAGGGTAAAATTAGTTATTTGGAGCAACACGTGCATGCAACCTTCAACCTTGTAAATAAGTTTGTGGCTTGTAAATAGTTTTTCATTACTCAGCGTAAATGGCTTTTCATTAAAAATTACCCAGCAACGCATCTTAAAATTACCTGGCGACGCTTAGGGCTTAAAAACCCATATATTGGCGATGCTGCATCCACCCTCTGCACCATGGTATGACGCATGGTGCCAATCCATAGGTTATTCAAAAGAACCTGTTCTTATGTCATTTTGAACCGATCAACACTTCTTTATGGACCGATTGTAAAACACAACCTTCACCGGCAAAAGCTTTCACACTTCTGAAGAAGGTGAGCTGACAGCTACACTGGTCTCTTATACACATCTAGATGTGTATAAGAGACAGGTCATTGTCATTTTTCACGTCATTGATATAAATCTGGAAGCAACGTAAGTAAGTAAGGAATTTCCCAGTTCAAATATTTATTTATTTACTTATATCAACTTCGAAACTGTACATATTTTAAAATTTAGTTGTTATGAGACCATAACTGAGAAAATGTTGCTCAATGGGTTAGTCCAGTCGTAAATGAGACTTTCGTATTCCCTTCCTACCCTACCCCCCCCGCTGAGCCGGACTGGGCGATGCTCTTGCAAACGCATAAGTACTCACAATAATTCCCTGCCACCATGGTATGACGTCACCATTTCAACCATCAACAAACGCATGGAACTAAAACAAAGCTTAATATAAAGGAAAAACTAGAGAGGTGACGGAATTACCCATGATGTTGGATTATACCACATTTACCCTATCTTATTTTTTTTATGGAAGATATTAGGCAAGGCCGCAAGAGCTATAAAATGTGGAAATTGTACTACAACTTCCACAAAGCTGTGCAAGGCTGCAAGAAAAATTATTCTTATCTCATTCATGGGGGTCTTGTGCTCAATTTTCCAGAATACCTAACCTGCACTAAACTAAACTTGCTGCTTGTGAAGTTGTGCTTGACACTTGACAAATGAAATGGGTGGTTGTCACTTCACAGTTCACACTTGTGAGTAAAAACTATAATAATATTGAAAGTTGCAATTTTGGGATTCATTGACAAATAACAAATAGGCTAACAACTTGAGAGATGTTTTAATATAGCTAGAAATTGGGGCTTCATTAATCATTAATGTAAAACTAAAAAATAGATTGTTTATACTAAAAGCTGGTGACATACCTAAATACTATAACGAGTGATTAACGACACAAGTTAAGTGAATCAAGTCAGTAACTCAGTAACTGTCACTGTCAGTTGGGAGCCTGGGAGGCATATCATACATAGGCCTCGCCTAGGGCCCTAGCTACCGATCATCCTATCCCTATGTCATGATAGGCTAAATCAGTAAATGGCGTTGACGACTTGACGTTAGTTCCAGAGCCGATTGGTGAAGTAAAAAATTCTATTTCGAAAATAAATCATTTAGTCATACTTACCACATACACGATGTTAAGCGCTATGAGGGAATTTTTTGAACAGGTAAATGAGCCACACATCTTGATAAATCTTTTATCACAGCAGCAGATTCAGAGATAGAAAACTTCCAACTCGCTGCGCTAGAACGATTGGCAGCTGTCCGCTGAAGAGAGGTTCTAAATGAGTAACGAACGATACGGGAACATTATATAAAAATTATAAACGTTCACATTTATTTTTTTGCGAATAAAACGAAGAGTGACAAAAATAAATATCTTTATTGTAGAATTGGTTATTGCAAGGCCATGGAAGAAATACGGTAAAAATCGGCAGAGAAAAGGACGGTTGGTGCTATAGGTAGATTTTATAAATCAGAAAACATGTAGATACACCAAACATTTTTATTTATAACCAAGTACTTTACCTCCGGGACAAAAACGCGGCGTCAGGAATCTATATACCAAGGTTCATTGAAATCGGTAGAGTAGTTTGGAAGATATTCCACGTACGATGAATTTCTTGAGTCACGGCCGTGAGACAGGCCGCGTTTTTGTCCAGGAGGTATATCTCAAATTAAAGTGCGAGATTTTTCATAATATTTGGTCATTATATTGTTAATCGTGCTAGAAACATTCTATAGAAAGGATATTGAAAAGTATGCATTGTTTAAAATTTATTCAACAAATAGAAAAATAAACCCACGCTAAAGTATTGGGTACAATGGTACATGTTCAAAAATAAACAAAAATAACTTTTTTGAAGTACTCAAAATTCGCTTTTCACTTCAGCCGTTCCACTAACCTCATAACGTTATCTAATCGGCCAATCGGAGCAGTTTGCTATTGTTTACCAGATTTTGTGTTCCGGTGAAGATATTATTCAGCTTCATCTCTAAAATCTAATTTTAAATGGCTAAAACTCGAGAGTTGGCGACAAATTTGCGTCGAAAGATCATAGATTGTCACAAGAAACGGAAGGGGTATCGAATAATATCCAAGGATCCTGATCTATCATTGAGTACTGTTGGAAATATCATCAGGAAGCAATCATCCTGATGATATCATCCGATCCGAGCATGCTGTACTAACCTTCCAAGACCTCTGGTCGTCCAAGGAAACTAACGGGCGGCAATGCAAGGTGGATTAACAAAAAGTACAGAAGAACCCGTTCGTTGCTCGTGGTGAAATTGGAAGCGACCTAGACTAGAGGAATCTTGGATTGATGTAGAAAATGACGTCTCACACAAAAGAACGTCTGAAGTGAAAAGCGAATTTTGAGTACTTAAAAAAAAGATATTTTTGTTTATTTTTGAACATGTACCCAATACTTTTGCGTGGGTTAATTTTTCTATTTGTTGAATAAATTCCAAACAATACATACTTTTCAATGTCCTTTCTATACAATGTTTATAGCACCATTAGCAATATACTGACCAAATATTATAAAAAAACTCGCATTTTAACTACAGATATGAAGAAAAATTGCAATGTATCCAATACTTTTGCGAGCCACTGTAATTTTCATGCAGTTTTTTTTTTTTAAAGCACACAAAGTCTGAAGCCCTGTACCTAACATCAGTGATCAGTGTCCCTCGGCTACTTTTTTCTGATTAGCTTCACTGTACGAGCTGAGACATTGCCTCAATCATGCCTATTAAAGAACCTGTCGCTCTGAACATAATCTGTCTTCGATTGGTTTCTTTCGGCCCTCGAGCGAAGAATGAGCAGCTCCGAAAAGAGGCTCAGTTTTCTGTGTTATGGTAATGAAGGCTCTTTAAAATGGGACAGTTGATCAGAATTCATTCAAACAAATAAAACATTAAAATGCGTATGGTTAAGGTGATAGAAAATTACACACAAGCCCACTCATAAATAGCGAAATTTGATGCTTCAACGTGTTATTAACTTCGAAACTTTGCGATGTTATGATAAACATTAACGGAAATTATCGAAGTCCCCAGTGTTCTTCACTTACGCCTGTATTATTCTAATACCTAGTAACGTATCGTCTCATCAATTTGAATGCAACTTTTGCCGTAAATTATATCAATAAAACCACTGGGCTTCTCACTATCATAGCCAAGAATACCAATAAACTTTTGTGGAAAGCGGTTGAACACAACGGAAAAAAATCGATAAGAAAATTTTCATTTATCACTGCAGACATTACCATACGAGTTCAAGATTGGCATTTGTTACCGGTTTCAGGAAAAAAAAAAACATTTTTTATACCATAAGAACCGCAGTGGGGCTGTAATTTAAGCAGGTACTTATTCCCCTGTTCATTTCTATTCGAAAATTGGATCTTGGTAAAAAAGCTTGGGAAAATCTACGTATGTTCCAACAAAAATACATGTTCATGATTAACACAGCTAATGATGCGCCTGAAATTTGAGCTGATTCTGATCCTAAGCATTGAATTTGATTTTTTTAATTTGATTGAACGATCCTAAGCATACTGCAAGATCCACAAAGAAATGGTTCGCTGATAGAAATGTACACGTCATGGAATGGCCAAGCCAGTCGCCGGACTTAAAATATGCGTCTCTATACATAATTTAAATCACTTTTCCTGTTAAGTTTGTGTACTTACATACATTAAAATACGATTTTTCAAGTGTACGAATATTTATTTCCCCCACTGTATATATACATCAGAAAAGCTGGGCGAGAAGAAGTATCGTCTATATATACAAACCTAAACTTCATGGGATAGACTGGTGTGTTATTCACATGCGCGTGTAGAACCTACGCAACACATTAAGGTACAGAGAAAATCGCATTTCTGCATTATTTCGTTGCTCACGGGAGGTAATGACCTTGTATGACAGCGACAGAGCAATAAATGAGTCTTGATAATCAAAGTACGAGGCCGTGTAACGCAATTGGCTTGATTGCACTGAGCTCATACATGAAGGCTCGCTTCTGCAATGACATTTTTCTAGACTGCTTATGAACATTTCAAATGAAACAGCGGGGAAAATTACAACGTATAATTTTTCGACAACATTTTAATTATTATATACAATAAATATTTACTGGAGTGAATTAAAGCAAATTTAACACACCGTTGTTGCGCAGACACAGCGTCTTTACTGTCTATTAAACAATAATTTTGAGTTACACCAACCCAAAGAACAATGTTCTATATAACCATGAAGTATAAGTTAACAATCACCTATCACAGGACACAGTTTCCGTTAACTACGTCTGCCACGTCGTCCACCTGAGGCTCGTCATCGCTCCTCACATAACACCGTTCCCGTCAACTACGTCTGCAACATCGTCCACCTGAGGCTCGTCATCGCTCCTCACACAACCCCGTTCCCGTCAACTACGTCTGCAACATCGTCCACCTGAGGCTCATCATCGCTCTTCACACAACACGTTCCCTTCAACTACGTCTGCAACATCGTCCACCTGAGGCTCGTCATCGCTCCTCACACAACACCGTTCCCGTCAACTATGTCTGCAACATCGTCCACCTGAGGCTCGTCATCGCTCCTCGCACAACACCGTTCCCGTCAACTACGTCTGTAGCCTCGTCCATTTGAGGCTCGTCTGCCACAGTCTTTCCTGCGCTGCCTCATCGAGGGCACTTGCTGCAGGCGTCGCTTCTCGCTGGTCACTGCATGAAGAGGCTCCATGTTAATAGGTTGGACGATTTGACAAAGAAATTCATAAATGTTCACAGTAAGACTAATAACATGACTTATAAATCACAAACAAGAAGTTGGCTGTTTAGCATTTAAAACGATTTCTTTGTGAGATGATAGCATTTGAATAAGGTCTAATCCAATATATATAGACAATTAATTTAAGTGCCAGTAATAGCCCAATGATCCAATCAGCCACAAAATAAGAATTGCAGTAAATGCCAACTAAACACCTGTAAGAATGGTTGCTAATTGCGGTGTCTGTAATGTCACTCTTTGACTTTAGGCAGCGAATCTTACCTGTAATAGGCCCCAGACTTGGTGGCATCAGGGCTGAGGACAGCATACAACGTTGTCTGCGCGCCCTGGCGTGGAGTTTTTAGAAAGAGCCATAAAAAAGGCCTTAGAAACAATAAAGATAGCCAGCTCTTGTACACGCTCATGTGTCGGCCGATTTCTGTGTTCACAAGACCAGGGTGGACAGCAGAACATGTGACGCCTGTGCCTGTTGTTGAAAAGTATCATTAAAATGCTGCCTAGAGATCTTATCGGCTATCACTTTACTTTTTAGCTAAAGTCATACGAGTTTAAAAAGACAGTCATTTTAGAATGAACTTCAATTTGAAAAAAAAATTGTTGAGCATCCGAATCGAAATATGTATGAAGAAAATTTCATTTTTTAATTAACTTCAAAATTTTGTCACCTTCATTTAAAATTAGACCAGGTTTTAAATGTTTAAAATACAGCTCCCTTCGGACGTTGACGTATGACGTGCTAGAATATAACCTAAAAACTTCTAAATACCACACTTCTAACACAACTTACTGAAATGTTGAAAAGATGGTAGATATGACAAGAATTGAGTTTGTTGAGATAAAGCTAGATTCAAAAATTGGGAATTGCACAAAAGCAAAAAGGGTAATACGATAAATAAATAATCTTAATTAGGGATGGCAATAAATGTCGTACCGGAATTTGTGTCAACAAAAGAAATGTAGAAATTCTTCTGCTTTGCAAAAGACCAAATAACTCTAAACATGTTCAACTATCCAGGCCGCATTCCTACCTTGCAACTCCTTGGCAAGTCGTAGAGTAAACATGACGTTGGCAAGTTTGCTCTGGTCATACGCTGAGCTGGGATCATAATTCTTTTCACTGTTCAAGTCATCAAAGTTGATGGAACCGCGCATGTGAGCGATGCTTGACACATTCACGATGCGGCCATTCTCACTTGCCTGGAAAAATGAGTTCTCTATTATAAAATATACAAAAGAATAGGCTAGTCAGGTAAAAAAATTAAGAAGAGATGCACTTTCAGTCAAGATTCAATTTTAATCTGATAAAAATGGAAAATGAAAAAATTTTAATTGTTATAGATTGTTTGTTTGGTTATTTCCTTTAAATTGAATATTTTGGAATTTCAATTGAAATAGGTTTTATTTTCATATCTGAATAATATGAAAAAATCCCTATTCCTGAATTTTATATTATTATTGAGAGCTTGCAAAACAAGTCAAGGCATGAGAATTACCAGCAATAACAAGCTTTATTCACAGAACATACGTGCAATTAGCTAGTTGTGAAATAGATTATATATGCTTCAAGGCTTCATGAACGTTAGATTATATGAAATTTAGCACAAGTAACATACGGTGATTTTATCTAGTAGCAACATAGTGAGGAGGAAGTGACCAAGGTGGTTGGTGGCTAGTTGGAGTTCAATGCCGTCTTTACTGAGAGTCCGTGGGCAGCGCATCACGCCGGCGTTGTTGATGAGGATATCAACAGTGCTCTCTTCTGTGATACAAATGAAATCTTCAAAATTAAGTTACTGAAATATCTTCATGATCTATGGTGTTAGATGCCACAATTTTTCTAGTTTCCCATATACTGGACTATGGCTCATTTATAAAACAAAGTTCCAGGTTACTCACTTTATAGTTTATAGGCAAATTATTTTACAGGAGCAAATCACTTTAAAAGGTGAAACAAAATGTAATGGAAACATTTTTAAATATGTAGATGTCCATAGAATTGACAGTTATTCAGGAGTTACTAAGGTTGACGGTTACAGTGATGCTGATCAATAAATATTCCCCTGACCATTAACATTGGAGCAAATATTTTACAAAGCAATCACAATTTACTTAATACAACCCTTAAGAAAATCAAAATGTAAATGGGTATTATGACTAGTTATAATTTTTTAAAGATAATTCATAACATCATTCAATAACAGAATATGCTCGAATTCAGAAAACAATAATCTTTCTACATTTCAATGCAAGAACATAGTAGATGATAACAGTGACTAATTAGCCATCCCTTGAACCCTCAATCATTGGAACTTCAGCATACATCTTGTGAACCTAAAAATTAAATTCAACTTAAAAAGCCTTACTAGCACAGATCCTTGCAGCAAACTGTCTGATAGATTCAAAAGACGATAAGTCACATTCCCTGCAAACCACATTCCTGTTTAGAGTCTCTGCAATTATTTCTTTCCGGGCCTGGGGAAAAATATGATAAATTAATATATATGTACTAACGTTTCTCACATGAATGGCAATAGTAGTACTGTATACACAGAAATTTTTAACAATGATCTTTAATCTTTCTCAACCAGAAGTAAGTTGCATTTGAAGAACAGATAACAAAATTACACAGAATAAATACTTATCTTCCGCATTCCCACACCAAGAAAAATATGCAAATTATTCAATTGGCTATATTCTTTTCCTATTTTACAACTTGCACTGCAATCATGAAAATTCAGCTGAATTAGGACAAAACAGCAATTGAGTACAGAAAATGATTGAGAAAATTTTTTCTTTTAGGCATTACCTACTGACCAATTTGCATTTGGTCAAATTTCGGCAAGCCATTATAACGCGAGCTTTCCTCCTTGCTAGCTCCAGAGCTGTTTCCCGACCGATGCCTGTGTTGCTTCCAGTCACAATCACAGTTTTGCCTTCCAGCATCTCAGGACCACTGTAGTTGGACCCACCCAACAATTCTCTGCAAGAGTGAAAAATGTCCCAGACTGTGGTGCAATGCAGTAAATAGTCTTTTGTGAAATACAATGTTTTCATTAAATTCAAGGATGTTTCACACTAAATGAAAATACCCTTCAGAACATAATTTGAGGAGGAAAGAACAATCACCTTAACACATAGGCTCATTTTGTCTTGGATATTCCACTCATCTGCTACACTATAAATACATTTTGGAGGTAGATGTTCTATTGATTGCAATATCTTCCCACTAATGCAAGTATTTAATGTCATGTGGTTTTATAGAAATTATTTCATGTCTTCTTTGTTCATTTAAAGTGAAATAATAAAATAAACAAATACACAATTTGAACTATAACTCACTTGAATAAAACAATGCTGCCCACAGCAACACCACCAGCACTGAGGTAGAAAATAATTCTTGGGGGAGGCATTGTACACCTAACACCTGAAACATTTTCACACGTATATAGGTAAATTAATTTCTATTTCCAATATGGCAGACATTATTGAGCATGAATAGAATCACTCTTGAGTGGCTACATACAGCAGTTTTAGTGTTTTACAGGTACATGTTCTTGTTCAGTTGCAGCTTCATTAGATCATCTCAGCCTATTTTCAGATCTGCTATGCCAGTGTCAATCAGGCCACATTCAGGCGTCTCATTCTATTCATTATAATTATATTATAAGATTAGATCATTTCAAATTTGAGATGTAATATTTACTAAAATGGTAGAGATTTATGGAAAAGTACTACTAGACAAAAAGTACATGGACAAAATCAAGTGACAGATCACACGATGAACGATGAAGACCACAATACCAATAGTGGGCACTGGGCAGAAGTCATCAATCTATAAAAGGGCTGGGAACTTTATTAGTTGTAACAGCCCCAAATAACTGACAAGCAGAATGCCAAGTAGGCTAACATTCATTAGAGTTACTCTGAGTCTCTGACCTAACAATAAAGCCTAACATTCAACATCTTAGCCAACACCTGTAATGTAGGCCTAGTTCTCATGTACTCACTCATGTAGCTATAACCACCCAAATGGAGATAAGTTCTATAGACAGATTGTCTTACTTATTCCTCACATTATTATTAGTCACATACTTGGTCAACAAATCCCCGACCTTAAATTAGGGCTAAGTAGAAATTTAGGTATAATCAGTCAGGTGGTGCTTAATATTGCCACCTGACAGCTAACTAAGTGAAATGGCACCTTATGCACACTTACTTATACAGTATCTCTTTGTCTAAGGCTGCTAAGAGAAATAGGTACACATCTTCTCACCTACCCTACCTGTACTCCAAAGTCCAAACCAGTGGAAAAATCAAGGGTGCTGTGACATATTTTTGACTCATTATGTCAAACAAAATTTTTTTACTTTGACTAGATTCAAACCAGTGGTTAAAGTTCAGAGTACCAGTGGGCAGTGATTGGGGCAGAAAGGACAGGTTTGATCCCAGCTCTGTGCATCAGTTTCTGGTCAGAATCAGCAAGGAGGCCGGGCGGTTAATAAGCACAGCAGAATTGTAGCAGTGAGTTGCGAGTTCGAGACCGCAAATTGCTGTGAGTGTTCTGCGATGTTAAGAAACGGCGGCAGTATTACGGCCTAATATAAACGCTGAAACCACTATTATTAAAAACCAACATTTTTGTGAATGGGCCAGTGCCACAGACTCACAGTGAAGCCACACTGCTTTCATCCAATTTGTGAATTGAAATTTAATTATTGCTACTTTGATAGTGCACACTTACCAACCAGAATTATTCTGTTATACAAATATATTTTCCTTAACTTGATTTACCGGCAGCCAGACAGCATGTCCTGGTAGACTGACCACCTTGTCCTGGCAGCCTGAGCTGCCTCAGCAGCCTCACTGCCTGAGCAGCCTGACGGTAAACTTTAGGATATCATTTTGGAGTTAAATTTTAGGGTAAAATTCGGGTTGAAATTTTAGGGCAAAATGATAGGGCAGAAAATGAGAGTAAGAAATTATGAAATAGGGTAAAATCAAATTGAAGTACATCAAGAAATATATGTTTTAAAAAATAGGGTAAATCATTAGGGTAGGAAAAAGGTGAGGGAGCTGGGAAAAATGGGAGAAAAATTGGGCTAAAAGAGGACAAAACGTAGTGGATTTCTCTAAGTGTCGGACAAATTTCCGGCCGGACTCACGGCCAATCACCATATTCAATGACAAAGAATATCTTCAAGACTAATGAACGCAGCTCGATGAAACTTGGTACACGTATTCATCATGACCTAGCAGTGATGTTTAGCTAGTGAAAAAATTTTCCATTTCACTTTCGTGAGTCATAGAGCAATACGGGCCGAAATTCGCAGTGACCAAGAAATTTCTTCTAAACTACTGAACAGATTTTAACGAAACTGTGAATATACAAACCTGACCTCCCTACGGTGATGTTTTAGCTCGTGTCAATTTTTTTCGAATTTTTCTTCGTTTGCGAGTTATACGGCTATACGTATACGACTCTTTGTTAATGTAAATTTAAAATCGGCCTCAGAAATGCCTGTCGTTTCTCCGTATGTCCGTATAACTCGCGAACGAAGGCAAAATCGGAAAAAATTGTAACAAGCTAAACATCACAGTTGGGAAGTTAGGTTTGTATATTCAAAGGTTCGTTCAAATCTGTTAAGTAGTTTAAGAGAAATTTCTTGGTCACTATAAATTTCAGCCCGAATTGCTCTGTAACTCACGAATGAAGGTGAAATGGAAAATCCTCGCAAACGATGGTAAAACCGAAAAATTTTTCACGGGCTAAACATCATAGTGGCAGGGTGGCCCAGTGGTTAAAGTTCAGAGTACCAAGATTGACGCACTAGAGAGGCGCGGGTTCGATCCCAGCTCTGTGCGACAGTTTCTGGTCAGAATCGGCAAGGAGGCCGGGCGGTTCAAGCACAGCAGAGTTGTAGCAATGAGTTGCGAGTTCGAGACCGAAAAATGCTGTGAATGTTCTGCGATGTTAAGAATCGGCGACAGGCCTACGGCCTAATAAACGCTGAAACCGCTATTATTATTATTATTATTATTATCACCGTTGGAAGGTTAAGAATAGTATATATTATTATCAAAGATTCGTTCAAATCTGTTCAATGGTTTGAAAGAAATTTCTTTATGATTGCAAATTTCGGCACGAATTGCCGTACAATTCACGAATGAAGGTGAAATGGAAAAAATTTCACGAGCTAAACATCATCACCGTTAGGTCCTCCTGAATACGTGTACCAAGTTTCATCTAGCTGCGTTCATTAGTTTGGGATATTCCTTGGCCACTGAAATTGGAGATTGGCCGTGAGACCGGCCGCGTGTTCGGCCGTATATTTTCATATACCATACACGGCGAACACCATATATTTGTCCGAGACGTATTTCTCTCACGCCCTAAGAACACATGGGAACAAATACTGACAATGAAAAAAGGGGAAAGACCAAATGCGACAAAGGGAAAAGAGTCAAGTAGGAAAAAAGAGACCTATGGGCGGGCCAAAGCGACCATATGCATCGAAAAAGGCAAAATTGTCCAACAGGACAGAATGAGCCAATAAGCCCAACAGGAAAAGAAGAGCAAAAAGATGTGCGGAAACCTAGTGTATTAAATCTAAGGTAAAAATACTTTAGGGAAAAAACCCGCGATACAAATCCAAAGAAAATCATGGGTAAAATTCAAAAGAAAATATGTAGAAAAAACATAGGGTAAAAATTTAGGTAAAAATAATGCCGATAATTAAGGGTAAATTTTAGGGTAAAAATGTCAGGGTAAGTGTTCAGGGTAAAAAGTAGGGTAAGAAATTATAAGAGTAGGGGAAAAAATGAATAAAAATAAGTCAAAAATCGAAAGTGTAAATAAATTAGGGTAGAAGATTGGGAGGAAGAAATAGGGAGAGAATGGAGAACAAAATGGTGAAAAACTATGCTGACAGGTTAAAAGGGCTAAAAAGGGTGAGGGTTACTTTTACGCCAGAAGGAACAACTAGAATTAGATAGTATAACAAGGGGATGTCACCGAAACCTGAGAGGAGACTAGTTTGCTCAAATGTGTAACAGTGATAATCAACTGCACGAGAACGTTGACTGGATCTTGAAAATTCCATTTTCTTCTAAATAATGTTTTTGATACGAATTTAAGCATTCCATCTTTCCAGACCACATGAATCCTTCATATCAAGAGTTTTTGGTTGTTGCAAATTGCGCGTTCCGTAATCAAAGAATAGAATTTTCGTGATAAATTCATTACCATGGATACCATGAACACATATTTAATGAAAGCAATACAACAGTGGAGTAGCCTTGCGTAAAAGGTCATTAAAAACTTAGCGGTATAATCTCGTCCAGGGTGCCAGTGGCCTAAAAACGGCTAAGTCCGCGGAAAAAGAAGGCATATTATTCCATATTTATTAGTAGATATGTGGGTTCCGGCGCAAATAATAAATTTAACTCGTTTTCGTAATTTTGAAAATTCAATAAGAAAGTTCCGTCATAATATATTTTTGTCGAAATTTAATTAAGTTAAATGGTCGAGAAGGAGGTATCCAATATCCATGGTATAATTTACACGGAGGACTGACTTTAACAGAAATATTTAAAAGGAAACATTCTTTCTAATTATCTTTCTTTGCTGCATGAAGAGAAAACTTAAGAATTCAATACAAATAACTTTTTATCAGATGCATTTCAATAGAAAATTATATATTCGCACAGTGCTTTCCCACGCTCTTAATGCATAACAAGGGTAATAAAACAGAATTTTGTTCGTCGTAGTTTACAGGGCATTACATCGTTTAATGCAATACGAAGCGGTCACACTATTCCCAGTATGCACTCAATCATTCGCGGTTGCGAGGCATGCGATTTGCTCATTCGAAAGTAATAGTTTGCAGTCTATAAATGGTATCCACCAGACAACATCAACTTTTACCACAATCCAGAAAAACGTCACTCGGTACCATTCGCGGAAACTCTTCAAAGACAAACCTTCATGAGCGCTGATGACGCACGAAAAACAAAGATATCAAGAAAGTGTAATTCGTTCAAGTCTCTCAACTCAGTCATCTCGTGTGGCCGAAAAAGCTGCAACATGATAACCAACGCTCCTACAGGAGGAGATAAAAATTACATTCATCGGCCTTCAACCCTCCCACCGATGGGAAAAAATATGCGACAATCGTTACCAGGCTTCTTACATCAATGCTTTGCCGAATCTCGATGCGTCCTCAGTTTCAATACCTTCACTTTTACACGGAGTAAGCCTGCAACTAACGCTTCGTCCGTAAATCCGATAATCGTACAAGCATGTCGACCATTTATTTTTGGGTCGATTCCTTTAGGTGATGAATGCGATGCATCAACTAAAGGCAGTCGGTGCCCATAGAGGGTCGTTGTTCGATTTCTCGGAAATTTCTTCACAGGACGTGCGAGGATTGACTAACTAGACGAACATTTTTATAAGCTTCTAACATACAAGCTTTCTAATATTTATACCGGAGCGGGACTGAAACCACAAATACAACAATGTTCTGAAGAAGAAATAACCTAGGTTATATTGACTACGATCCCACGCAGAATTAAAACTACATGCTCCAAAGTCAAGTCCTCAAAGTGGCAAATCCAACAACGACTGAAGTTGTAGATGAAATTTAGTGAAACTGGTCAAACTTTTAATAGACTGATTCGTTACAAATTTAATATTACAAATTTCGTGATACACGGCAACCAACTTTACCTTAAAATATATACTGATACTTTCAGTCCCGCTCTTTCTGTAAGCGTTAAATTATAACTATATAAGATTACAAGATTACACACAAAAAAGAAATATTAATGTTATACTCACACAGAACTCATGCAAGCACAATTTTAAAGCGACCACAGCACTCTTTTGAAAGACGCGCGATGCTTACGTTCCGAGTCACCACCCTAATGACGGGTGATGATTACGTTCCGAGTCACCACGCAAATGACGCGCGATGCTTACGTTCCGAGTCATCACCCAAATGACGGATGATGATTACGTTCCGAGTCACCACCCAAATGACGGATGATGATTACGTTCCGAGTCACCACCCAAATGACGGATGATGATTACGTTCCGAGTCACACCCCAAATGACTGGTGATGATTACGTTCCGAGTCACCACCCAAATGTCATTCTGATTCATTTGGCAGGTATTGCTGCTTGCAAGAGGTAGTTTTTAAAAGCATGGGAATAAGCGCTAATAATCATTTCTTGTCAGGCTCTAGTGTCTAATGATTTCAATGGCCGGTATTGATCGGTTTGGAAGGTTTCTGCACGGAAGATTAAAAGTCAGTTTCTCTCAATTATTTCCACATGGCTAGCAATCTTTCAGAATTCCTGTATACGTGGTAAAACAATGGAAGCTCCCATGTATAGCTTTTAGTTTCGCAATCGCTTCCATCCCGGATAGCAGAGCTAGCTTGTGGGTCCAAAACTATTTTCATGGATAGCGAAATGAAAGCAGAACTTCGCTTTATCTCATGACTGATCAGAAAAATAACATGCTACTAGGCTTCAACAATTTTGTAAACGAAATTTCAAAGCAACTATCCAAACCTTCGACCGAAGTCCGTTACTGAATGACCAATCACCAAATTCCGAAATTAATAAAAATACCCAATTGAAGCACTAGCTTGCACGAGTTCGTGTGTGTTACGCTTAACTATCGCCTTAATAGTTATATGAAGCGCCATATAATTAATAAAGACACTCAGAACATCAAGTATGCTATAACGCAGCAAAAAATATAGTGCAACCAGATTGGTTTCAGTGTAACAGCAGATGGTTATCGTAAAGCAGTAATAAAGCAATCAATATAAGTCTTGGCAGACTTGAAAGACTAAAGATAAAGATCACAGCAAATTACAAATATTCGTCGTTTTTGTACGTGAAATGTTCGCTTGAAATAAACACAGCGGCATTTATAAATCATTGCGCAGCAAGTTATTTGATAGTGATTCTATAATGAATGATTACGTTTTGCTGCAGAAAAACTAATAAATCTAACATGATTTCAATGGTTCGTGAGCAACTGAAAAGGAGAAGCCGCGAAAATCACATCGATTAAAAACAACACTAGAGGTTACGGCCTTATCAACTAATTTTACCTGCTGACTATAGAGATTTTACAGTCCAGTTTCAGTGAATGATTTGGAAATAAAAAATTCTTAGTATATAGGAGAAATTTCGCAACAATATTAAGTTCCATAAAGCTGTACCTCTATCTCATAGTCAGCAGGTTCGCAGAAACATCCGTGTGGTAAATAGCACTACTGAATAAGATATAAATTAAAACTACAATCCACTACCGATATACTAAACGCCAGAAAGTACGTAGAACTCCCAAACACGTACGACGAAGTAGGTGCAGGATAAAAGTGTCCAGGCTAGCTAGGTAAAAAACAAAACTCAAACGTACCTACAACCTCGTATATAATAATATAATATTCTCGTATAGAGCAAAAACAAAGAACCCCAAAAATATAACGACTCGGAGGTACACGCGAGAAATTTTAGAAACGTAAAGTTCAACATAAATTCAAAATGAAGTTACGCAAATTTCTTCAAGATAAAACTTAAGGTAAAACGATGGAAGGATGAGCAATTTTTCTCAGTTTAAAATTTCACTGATAATATTGCCCACAAGGTTGCAGTCGAAAAACATGCAAAGAACAGAAGTTGGTTAATACAGAAGCCAAAGCTAAGAAATTCATAGGACATTCCGGTGTTTTCTTACACAAGAGGAAAAAACATGAAAAAAATCGATAAGTATCAGCATTTCAAGTAATTTTACAACACAAGCTTACATACACAAGAAGTGTTTTAGGGCTCCGCAATTTCCAGAACCGAGTTGAAAGATTCAAAACCACACAAAATTTTCAAATCGCAAGCATACGACAGCAGTGCACGGTTCATTTGAAATAAACTGGTAACGAACAAATGCGAGTCTATAATGGACTCGTCTAGGCTTCTTTGAAATAAGCAGCATAAGCTGATTGACCGGAAATTATCCGAACAGACAATAGACGCGAATGGTCTAGAATCGCATGTCAGTAGACGAAATTCTTCTAGAATCAAGAGACAGTTGACGAAATTCTTCTAGAATCAAGAGACAGTTGACGAAATTCTTCTAGAATCGAGAGAAAGTAGACGAGATTGTTCTAGAATCGAGAGACAGTAGACGAGATTGTTCAACAATCATGAGATAGTTGACGAAATTTTTCTAGAATCAAGAGACAGTAGACGAAATTGTTTTGGAATCAAGAGACAAAAGACGAGATTGTTCAAGAATCAAGAGACAGTTGACAAAATTTTTCTAGAATCAGGAGATAGTAGACGAGATTGTTCTAGAATCAAGGGACAGGAGACGAGATTGTTCAAGAATCAAGAGACAGTAGACGAAATTGTTCTAGAATCAACAAACAGTTGACGAGAGTGGTCGAGAACCAACTGATAGTAGACGAGATTGGTTTAACATCAACTGACCACAATCTAGGATTATAACCTTGGATAAAGTGGGACAAATGTTCTTTAATTAGTTATTTAGTAAGTTTTCACTTGGTAAGTTTTTAGTTAGTTAGTTAGTTATTAGGTTAGGAATCAGTCGACATACTGACGCCAGACCAGAGTTCTCAGCTAGCGACTAATGGTAGACCTCTTAGAGTCTATCATTGCAGAGGCTGGATAGAAATGTTTGGTTTTAGAAACGAAATTGAATTCGCTGACCAAAGGTCAAGTCAAGAGACTTCGTTCATAAAGCAGAAGCTCAGTTCGAGATTCGAGAGAAAGGTACAGAAGTTATGAAGTATCGTCTCCTGATGCTCCTGCTAGTTGCACATGCAACTAGCAGGTGCATCAGGAGACGACTTCTTTGCTTATATATTCGCACCAAAGTGTTCGCTCCGCGGCTCCATCATGTCATCAAGTACATAAAAATAAACATTATAGTCTAAGCATAACTTTTTGAGTTTTCTTTATAACGTATGTTACATGTTTACAACACGAAAGTTGGGTTCCTGATGATTAGAACATTCATGTTTGACTCGGTAGAGTTGAGTTTGAAATGAGTTTCACAGTGAAAGATTCCCAACATCAGCGGAACTGACCAACAAATTCGATCGTGAAACTGAACTTTGATGAATCCGATTGACATTCATATTTTCACAACAAACTTTGAATTCGCGCTAATTGAAAATGTTGAAATATTTTGGCTTGAATTAATGTAGGTAAAAAAATTACAGAACTATTTCGACATGACATCACCAACTCGTCGCGAATACACCGGCGCATTTCCTATACCCTCAAGTCTAGAAGATACTCTACACTAACGCAGTTCCATGGGCGTTACTATGAGCATTTGCTACGGAAGCAATCCTCAAGTGCACCCAGAACTGCATTAAACTAGAGCCTCGTCAAGTCCAGCAGGATTCAAGAAATGCGCCGCCATCACTAGTCTTCGACCCGCTCCTCAGTACTGGTAGACCGCATCTCCAGTTTCGAGACGCGCTGCGAGAGGTCCATGGCTTCCTCAACTTCCTTTGTCATGACGGCCGTGTTTTCGCTTAGTTTCAGATGGCTCAGCGTCTTGTTTTCAATTGGTTTACAGTTAGCTTCTTCTTTCAGGTTTTCTTTGTTTTCTTCGGTATTTTCAGGTTTGACTGGCGGTACGGCATTCTTGGCGGTGATCTGAGGCGGTTTTCCTAGGGCGAGGGCCAACTTTTGCTCGATGTCACGGAAGTTGCGAGGAAGGACTTGGTTGCTCTCTCGTTCTCGATAAGCCTGTAGTCCCTTGCATGTTGGCAGGCCACACTTCTCAGCCACGCAAGTGTCGACGTGCATGCGCGTCAGGTGTGAGTAGACGTGAACCAGGGCGCATTTGTGATCCACTTTGACGAGATGACCTCGGATGCGGCGGAACATGAGGCAAGGCTTCACGCACTTGTCGTCATGGCACGAGATGCTGTGGCTGAAAACGCGCAGCAAATGGTGCAGCAGGAAGCTCTCCGTGAGTTTGATGGTAACTTCCAAAAGTTTGCGAGCTTCCGACACGCACTCAAAGTCGCTGAACTTGTCAACGCTCAGCACAGTCATTATGGATGCAATGAGTCGTAGGTGCATTCGTTCGGCCTCCTTGGGCGAGTTGGCAACCTTTTCGAGCAGATCTACGAGCTCGGGTTTAGGCGATTGCGTTTTCGGCACGCCGCATTGCTTTGCATACGGTGAAACCTTCCGGGAAATACGTGACGGGTTCTTCTCATCCACCAAAGATCGGGAGCTAAAAAGACAGCGATTCTGAGGCGGGTCTTCTGCAGACGGAGCTTCGTTCTCTTGTTCTTCGTCAGAGGAATTCGCAGGGCTCGGTAAGCCGCTGTCCACCTGAAAAAGACAACTTTTCAGCGACAATGAAATTGAGTTTCCTTCCCCGCAATCACTAATTTTTAAAACATGATGCAGTTGAAGAGCTAGTAAAAAATAAAGATAGTAGGAAATTATTTGGCCATTCTTTTTGATAAAATATTGGAATGTGACAAATGAGGCAAGATCGCTAGTAAACCTTTTTTACATGAACGGTAAAAATTTTGTAAAAAAAATTATGGGTCTAATGACGAGTTATGGACGGCTCCGTCCACGTCCACGCTGGTGCCTGTGCATAAAAAGATCGTTGTCTGGTGCACACGTTGGGTCCAGTGAAGGCATCTTGGGTCTGGTGCACAAAGCTTGCACAATATCGATTACACTGAGCAATTTACTTAAGTATCAGCAATTCACTAAAGAAATTGATGAAAATCCAAAACATTAAGCAACCATTGATTTGCTAAAAAAAACTCGAAGCAAAGACATGAAAACGTTTCAAACGTAACACAACCTGAGTTGTGTCCCGATGTTATATATACGTAAGTGTAGTACAAGACTTAAGGTGCAGACAACTTGAGAATATCTCACCCATTTTGTTTAACTTTCAGTAAACGGATGTTAAAAGTGTAATGCAATTAAGACTCAGGGTGCAGAGAGTAATATCTCACCCCAGAAGACGGACTAGAGGCCACCGAGCTGCACCCTAGCGGTTGCTCGCTTGACTCTCGTGCTGCCCACGCCTGCACATGTAAGCGTTGGCTAATTAATATTAATCAAGATAAGATAATGAAAATAAATTAAAATAAGATTCTAATTCAACAAACAACGTGATGAATCTTTTGTCGATAATTACCTGTTAGGAGGCTAATAAGTTAGGCAACGGAAACGTGAAATAAAATAAGTTTTTATATACCGGTACCTGTACTTATTTCGTTGTATCTTTTTACATACTAAAAAAATGCGATGTAACGTGAAAAGTCGGAGGAAGACTCTATTAAAGAGGCAAAATAATTATTGTAATGGCTCTTAAATTTGTGTATTGAGCTATTATAACTTCAACATGACATAAATGATTTCCCACTATATCACACTAACTATTTCCCACACGGTTCATATCATATCATAAGTGATGTCGGCGCTGAAGAGTGGGCCTGATGTGGCCTGTCGCTTATTCTTGTACTTTTCATGACTTGTCCACAGGAGATCTAAAAACAGGTCCTTTGACCGGATCTTTTCAAAACTGTCGATAGTTTGAAATAGCTACTAGGCGTGAAGAGTTCAATTTTGAAGGATTTATGGCCTGTCTGCTCTTCTTCGGTTGCCTAAAAATTGGGTTACAGCTCACCTAAGAAGCTAATATAGTTAAAATTTCAATCCAATTAAGTTACATCATGAATAATTGCTTGAAATTAAATTATATAGTAGCAAACACAGTTAAGAGATTTTGAAAAAGCCCCTTAACGTGTGTATCTCCTGACGAGTTCATGTAATCAGTGCACCAGATACGATGCTAACCACGCACGTATTTGATAGCGTAGCTGAGCACTCATTCTTGTTGCCAGCCAGGCCCAAACACTCATCAGGTACGTATGACACACATGTTCATATTGATGTATGCGTGACACGCATATTCATATTGATGTGAATATGACACTTTTGTTCATATTTATTAATACATGACACTCGTGTACCCATTGATGTACGCATGACCCTATGTTCATATTCATCTATACACATAAAACTCCTGTTCCTATTGATGTACGTATGACATTCATGCTCATGTTCATCTATACACGACACTCATGATCCTATTGATGTACGTATGACATTCATGTTCATATTCATATATTGATAACACTCATGTTCATATTCATATATTTATGACACTCATGTTCATATTGATGTACGTTTGACACTCCTGTTCATATACATGTCTGTCTCGTGATCGTCTTTCTAACATCCGTTGTCTTCCTTCCCCGAAAGTTTAAATAAAAACCAATTTCGAAATTTTTTTTGAATTCTTTCAGTCCAGTATTAGTGTTTTTAGTCTCCAAAAAATAATACAATAACTAATCAAAGATTGCTACAATTAAAAACATTATATTGTATACACTATAATTTAAGAAATACATAAATGTCATAGCGTCTTAATATAAGATAATAAACAATAAATATATTTTTATTAATGTACGATATTGATAAGAGCCAATAGTTTAAACCAGTGGTTCCAAAAATTTTTCAGGCTGGCGCCCCCTTTGGCTCCCCAGTGAGCTTCTAGCGCCCCCCCCCCCCACAGACACAAATAAGCACATAGCTACGCCTCATTCTTGATATTTAGTGCGCTACAATTTTAGAAGAAAAAGGTTCAACACAAAAGTGTTTTTACCAATAGAACCCCATTTAGTAACCCAATATATTTTTTAGCAGTTTTAACTGTTTCAGCACAGGAAAACCCAGGACGTCTCGGGCAAATTTACAGCCGGACTCGTGGCCGGTCGATCACGGCCAATCTCCATATTCAATTGTCAAAGAATATTTCCCAAATTAATGAACGCAGCTCGATGAAACTTGGAACACGTATTCAGTAGGACCTAACGGTGATGTTTAGCTTGTAAAAATTTAATAAACTTCACCTTCATTCCCGAGTTATATGGCGATACGTGTCGAAATTCGCAGTGATCAAAGAGTTTCTTCCAACTAGTGAACAGATTCGAACGAAATTTTGAACATAAATTCCTAACTATCAAACGGTGATGTTTAGCTCGTGAAAATTTTTTCGATTGTGCCTTCGTTTACGAGTTTTTTCTTTACATTTCACCGTCATTCGCGATTTCACACTTCTTTTTTCGGCCCGTATCGCCGGGTTATTTGTCCCTTAAATTCGCGGTACGGTATTCAAGAAATTTCTTCTGAACTACTGAACAGATTTGAACGAAACTTAGTATATAAATACCTAACCTCAGTAACGGTGATGTTTAGCTCGTGACAATTTTTTTCTCTATTTTGCCTTCGTTCGCGAGTTATACGGATATACAGTGGGGGGAAATAAATATTCGTACACTTGAAAAATCGTATTTTACTACGTTTTTCTTAGCTCGCTTTCGTGTCTGTGATGATCAAATCTTGCAATCGATATTTCACCAACTTTCCCATTAGCTAGCGCTCTGAAACTTTTAGGGAAGCTCAGCTCCCGATAACAATACAATAATCAATAATTTGTTGCACGTTTCCAGGCGTATAAACTCTAAAGAAACTCACAAGCAGGGGTTGGAACCTTTAACGCACGTCATCCTCGAGAGGATATTCGTGTTTAGACTGCGTATATCGATGATACGCTTCGTATCATCGATACGTACATCAAGTCAAGTAAATTACACGGACAGACGGACAGACAGACAGACGGACGGACGGACATGGCGAGCACAATAGTGCATTTTTTCCATAAATGAGAAAATGCGCTAAAAACAGTTTTGGGTGGAGAACTCATCGCTGTGAGTCATGTGCGGCACGTGTTGCGTACAAATCGTCAAACAAGCGTTCGAATTTCTGACTTCGATCGGGCTGCCGCCCCCCTACTAGGGGGGGGGCGAAGACAACTAGTCTTAAAATTAAATTCCCGACAACCAATTGCGTCACCTTAAAATTTGGGATAGTCTTAAATGCCACGCCACCAATGACCGGAAGTTAAAGGATACTTCCCTATTGGTTTAATCCGCAATAGCTTGGGCTAGGCCTGGACGGATTGACAACTCAAAACAAGCTTACTTAAATTAATTATAGACAAACGGCAAGTACTCACTGAAATAGAAACAAAACAAATCAAAACTAACGATTTACAGAGATGCGACATATGTACTAAGCCAATTAACAAATTGAATGCGGAGAGCGCTAAAATGCGCGGAGAGCAAAATGCGAGGATAGAGCTTGAGCATGGAGGTCTGAGAATATCGCGCGATCCCTGGCGTCGGGATCGACATCTTATCTGACGGCTATAACCAATTCAACACCCACGTCAGAGCCGGTCCTACTTAATCATTGCTGTCTGACAGATAGTAGTGTGAAATTTGCAACAACACTTCATTACAATTACTCACCTCACTTTTTGCCTTCGGGGACATTTTGCTTGTAATTGAAGAAATTTGTAGTTCTTATAAGTTATAAAACACGCATGAAGCCCTCAGGCAGGCTGTTTATTTGACGAGAATATTAGCTTTGTATAAAGGATCAGCAAATCATTTAGCAATCTCGAGAATATTAGCTTTGTATCAAGGATCAGCAAATCATTTAGCAAATTAGCAATCTAAATTGCTTTCTTGTGGCTAACTCTCGGTTGGTATCGACGATACTTTCTGCAATTGAAAAATTTACATTGGTTGAGTTGACAGTCAAGAACATAGATTTGAAGCGATGAAACTTCGTTTTAGATTTGGGTAAGAATAACGGCTACATATGAATCACGATAATAATAATCCCGGTGTCATTTTTGAAGCTATTTTATAAATATAATGTACGAGTAGTCAAAATTAATTACCATAGTATATAAAATGATACTTGATTGCCTGTTAAATAGGATACGAAAAATACGTGAATCGCTTGAATTGAATGCTAACGGCATGCAACCATGATTTATGGGTCGAATTATTTTCAGGAACGAAGAACGTGGTGCGAAAAATAGTCCAAAATTGTATGAAATTTTTCTCTGAGCTGTACCATAGAGCAAGAGACGCGTTCTAAACCTGCAAGATGCGAACAAGAAATAATATCCACAGGGCCTAATCTAAGACCTATAAATCGATAGTTTAGTTAGAGTAAAGCGTAATTGGTTGTTCCATTTGTACCATAGTAAAGTTCTCGTTAAAATTTCAAGATGCTTAAGTACACATCGTCTGTAAACACCATCTTTGATCTGAGATGGTCATACAAGCAGTTTGGAGTTTCAAGCTTCAACAGTCACTTTAGCAGAATAAGAAGAAACAGCTGTTCACACACACAATAAGAAGTTTACCCGCCACTAGTTCTTCACTAAAACCAAAAGACACTGCATTCACACCCCGGCCCTTGCTGTTGAAATTCTGGCTAGTGGCTAAACGTTACCAATAGGTAGTTCGCCGTTAACGTTTGAAGTACGCGCGAGCTCACACTACAAGGTCAAATGAAGCAACGTTGTCAAGCTTGCCAACCTCCCATTTAAACAATAGGCCTTAAATAAGTCACTTGCAGTATAGTACTTTTTTTTACAATTAAAATCAACAAAATACAATAATTTTGTTTTTTAAATGGTTTTCTGTCAAGCATAGAATCATGACACAACATGGTGTAATTTCCTCGAACATTTCCACCCGTCTTTTTTATCTAGGTTGCCAAACGTCGCGAGAATTATCGAGGCGGACCAATAGAACATTCGCCTTGCTTCAAATACAATTTAAGCACATTCTTTTCAAATTATTGAACATTATTTTTTGGAATAACTTCTGTTCACTATGAACACCATATTTTAACACGATACTCTTTGAATACACTGAGAACTAACATGAACGAGAACGGATCACGAAGTTAGGTGCGCCTCACTTGTACGTTACAAGACAACTAACATCAATGGATAGAGACTGGACATTGAACGTTGCAGTTAACCCATTTTCAATACATCCGTTAGAATTCTTCAAAGAATGTAAAGATTATGTCGTTTACTTTTGAAGCCCGTTTAAATAATTTCTCGTCACATTCCCATGTGTAATCAGTGAATCAGAGGTAAACAGCATGTCTAAGAATGTTGCCCGATTTCTTGGCTGTGGACTGTAAGTCATACAAATATAAATTATGGTTGCGTAACCACCACGATTCGTGGTGGGGGATCGATTGCTCAATCATTTGACTGTTAATAATCTCCTATCGGACTGTCAACATGGCTTATTGCCGGTAGATCCTGCACCACTAACCTTTTTTCTACTTTGAATGAATGGACCCGCCTGCTGGACGAAAGGTAGCCTGTAGATGCAGTGTTAGTGTACCTCGATTGTTGCGTAAAATAAAGTCATTGGGGGAAGTAAGAGTAATGTACTCAAATGGATCAGAGATTTTCTAGTAGGGAGACGACAACGTGTCAGCATTAATTGGTCCATATCAGACTGGGCTTCAGTGCCCATCGGCGTGCCACAAGGAACTGAAGGAAGCTTTCTCGGGCCTGTTTTATTTGTTGCGTTCATAAACGATCTACCAGAACCTGTGTCTACCGTGGGCTCGATGTATGCTGACGACACAAAATTCCATAATGCAGTGAAGAATACGTCGCAAAAAGTACAGTTGCAAGGTGATCTTGACAGGCTGGTTGACTGGGCTGATAAGTGGTATCTGCGTTTAACGCTGACAAATGTAAATTTATCCACCTTGGCAAGAATAATGAACGGCAAGATTACAGTATGAGAAGACATGGTTGCAACGAGAGAGTGATGATGTCGCTGTCGAGAATGGAAAAAGATTTAGGAGTTTATGTCTATAATGAGTTGAAATTTTCCAAGTATATTGAAGCTCAAGTTAATAAAGTCAATAAACGACTTGGACTGATCATACAATGTTTGAACTAGAATAGTTCGACCATGTATCAGACGCTCTTACGAGTACCTAGATGCAAAAGCGATGAAGCTGTTCTTTGTCGCTGTCGTGCGTCCAAACCTAGAGTTTGGAAACGCCGTGTGGTCACCAAAACTAGAAAAATGATAAAGTCAAGAGTGTTCAGAAACGTGCTACAAGGATAATTCCGGGATTAAAAGGCAAGCATTATGAAGAAAGGTTGAAGATTATGAAGCTTCCAAGCCTCTGTTATCGACGTCTGCGTGGTGACCTCATCGAACTATTCAAGTATACCCACGGTTTATATAAGTTCCCAGAAGGCGTCCTAAAATTTGAAACAAAAACCAACATCAGGGGCAAATAAAAATGCTGAGTTACTAGCTATTTTATTACTACGTTTTTCTTAGCTCGCTTTCGTGTCTGTGATGATCAAATCTTGCAATCGATATTTCACCAACTTTCCCATTAGCTAGCGCTCTGAAACTTTTAGGGAAGCTCAGCTCCCGATAACAATACAATAATCAATAATTTGTTGCACGTTTCCAGGAATACAAAAGACCAAGAGAATGAAAGCAAACAGAGATCAGTAGCTGCCAAAAAATTATTTTCTACTTTTGAGTCCACATGAAAAACGTGGTCTTTAAAAAATTTTTTTTTATACATTTTTTTGCAGTTGATGAAGCTCATAGGGAGTCGATGGTAAATCATAAAAAAAACTCACACACGATAAAGCTTATATGGTGATTATTGAACAAGTATTTCACAAGTTATCAATACTTCATGGTAAAGAAATAGTATGTGTGTTTAATGAAGCCGTATAAGACGTAACAGCTAACTAGCGTACATTAGTCATTACTACATCTATTAACGAGGAGTTACTGTAATTCAGTTGTAACGAAGTAATCTATAAAGCAATTATAAGTGGATTGCCTCGTAGGGCTTACACCTACTCGCAAAGACGTAGGGGTTAACCAAATGCAAGGCCACGGCTATAAACTGGATAAATTGCGTGGTAGCATCCATGCGACAACATTTCTTCTCACTTCGAGTCACCGATTTGTGGAACAGCCTTCCTGATGGCATCGTTGACGCTCTGAGTATGAACGCCTTCAATAACAGACTAGACGAAGCTATGCAGGAGCATTATGTTCAGTCTTGAAATGCCTTACAGACAAAATCACTGAACTTTCTAGGAACTTACCCGCGAACACGACAATGGACTCAAACTACAAAAAATGGCGATCATAGCGAAGTCATAACGGTCATTGCTAACCATTTATTTTGTACTTATGATCTGAAATAAGCCTCTGAATTTCAAGCATGTCCGTTCGCAATTGAAAGATTTTTGAGCTGTTGCGCAAAAATAGCGTGTCGGCGTTTCAATAGGAATTTTTTTTTAACCGTCTCAAATCAAAACCACTGGGCCGCAGGGTGGCCCAGTGGTGGGCAGGGTGACACAGTGGTTAAAGTTCAGAGTACCAGGATTGGAGCAGAGAGGCGCGGGTTCGATCCCAGCTCTGTGCGCCAGTTTCTGGTCAGAATCGGCGAGGAGGCCGGGCGGTTAAGCAAAGCGAAAATTGAAGCAGTGAGTTGCGAGTTCGAGCCCGCAACAAGCTGTGGATGTTCTGTGATGTTAAGAATCGGCGACAGGCCTACGGCATACTAAACGCTGAAACCGCTATTATTACTATCATTATTATTTTGATTCAATTATATTTTATGAACTAACTTCTGTTTTCGTCTCATATTTCAAAAATTGTGTTTCAATTTGGGAAATGATTTTTTTTCTAAACCGTCTCAAATTATTATTCAATTGAATTTCATGAATTAACTTTATTTGTTTTAGTCTCATAGTTTAATTGTTTAAAGTCTAAAGATATACTGCCGGCGTCACTGCGTGCTTGTAGCTGCTGCGGCAAACATATGATACTGTCCAACTCTGACGGCTCGTAGTAGACTCCTAGGAGTCTCGGACTATGTTTAGTCCCAGTGCAAGACTGCAAGGCAGCAGTCAGCAAGTGGTAGTATAAAACAGACTCGTTGAAGTAGGTATACCAAATATTGGCAAATAAAATGGGATCGACGGAAGATTTCCTCTTAAAAACCTATGCCAAATTACTCAAGTTGCAATATATAATCTCATTGGTTTCTCAAATCAATCATTCTCGCGTAACCACAGAGCACAGATATGAATCACGCTTATCGAATGAGACGAGTTCACGAGAGTGACGAGTCTGAGACTGATCGCCATTTATACTGTGTTCGAATTGTCAATGTCACCTAAATATGTTTTTTTTAGTAATTTGAAACAAAGAATATGTTTGATGTTGGACATAGGCCTATCACTATGTTTTAAGCAGATTTAGATTTGGGGTAACACATGCACCGGACTTTGCAAATGAGTTTGCAGCTCATAAATGGCTTTTCTTGGCTGGGATGTGGTATTTACGGCTCAAAGCAATGGAATCAGGGCTTGCAAATCCATGAAATCGTGGCTCTAAAAATCCAGTTGTGCTTCAGATAGTAGATCTTGATCAGGGTGGCAAACAAGCAGGTGTCTTTTATTCTGTTTCAACACAAGAAATGTGAATGATGATAAGGCTGCTTAAGGCATATGCATTTCAGCACTAGTTTTGAATGTTAAATGCATTTAAAGTGGAAGATTGTAAATCGAAAATGCACCCAAGTTAATGGCATCATTGGCATGTGTGTGTGGGAGAACTACACAGACAACCTCACTGGATGGCAAATGCCAGCATCCAGAACAATGCAGCAACAACAACACTCATATGTAGTTGAATAAGGTCTTGTGTGTTTGATTCCGTTAGAAGTTCTACTTTCCATGGTAAAGGTATAAGGACTTCATCAGTATGGGCTTTTCATGTGTTGAGATTTCAATTACGATTCAAGTACTGCTTGAGATTAGTATGTATACCACCCTTCCAGACATTTATTTGAATAAAATGAGGCAGTATTTTCAAATTATAATTGTTTATAGCTGCAATGAATGTTTTTTAGGTCTAATTTTTGGCTTATTATATAACTCGGTAGTCGGTACTCACTGCAGTGAGTGACAGAGAGCACATTTTCTCATTAACAAAAATGTGAAGTCACGGACTGACAGACAGAAATGACGAACACAATAGCACCTTTTTCCATAAATGAGAAATGTGCTAAAAATAGGTTTTGTTAATGAAAAATGGATATGGTAATATCAATAAAATAAAAACCAGTACAAATTATGGGAACTGTCCTTTATTCTACATGTACAACATGATTCAACATCTACCAATGAAAAAGAGGACTTCGGAGTACCTACTGATAGTAATGGATGAGTACACTCTCCATGCTAAAATCGTTTTAAAATTAAGTTTTATTACAAGTTTTGTGGATTACCACAAAACTTGTTTTTTATACATGCACCCTACAACTACTATATGGAATTTTTTTGGAGATGCCATATAATAGCCATTGCAAAAATCTTTAAAATGAGCTTGAACTCATTTTTTAAATGGTTCATGATAAGAAGTTATCAAACAGAAAAGAGGAAAAATTGTCCCGTATTACCCTGTTTGACGGCAGGTATAAAATTTTTTTATTTATGTAATTCAAATTTTTAGAGAATTGCACCATGCATCAAATGGAACCATTTTAAATTGTGGGGTTAATTTGATATATAAGTATTTGCTAATCATATAGATTATTTTGGAAGTAGTACCGTAAACACTCTTTGTCAAAATTTTGCTTTAAAGTAAAATTCATTTGTTGTGTTGAATGCTGGAGATATGACAGCTTTCAATATCTTGCACAGAATATTTTAATTAAATTCAGTTGATGAGATACAGAAGTGTCCTGTAAAGTCATCATGATCTATTTCTGGGAAGTAGATTATTTATACAATTTTCCTGTAAGAATTAATGGATATTAAATAATTAATTACCGGTACAAGCTCAAAAGAAGCCACATTGAGTATTTAGTTCCCCTTAAGGCTGGTAGTCAGTGCAGCAAAATTTGAGAGCAAGGTATTTGTGACCATCATGTGAAATCTTTGATCTGCTCTAAGCTCGGCTAGTTGCTACCTTCGAGCTTGTAGTCTTTGTAATATGATGTCCTAGCCATCCCCTTTTTTGCAGCAACTGGCGGCTTTCAGGTGGCTAAGGAATGGCTAGCGGTCAGCTATAACTGATTGAACTAGGCTGACCACTGGCCACTTATTATTCCTTGCTCCTCATTGAGTTCGCCTTTGTTGTGCCACCTGTTGTGGACTGACAGCTCAGTAATTTACAACGTTTCTTTCCTCTCATACCTTCCACAAAACCTCCAATGAATCAGTTAAGGGGAGTGTCTGGGTCCAAAATTGACAATTTTGGCTTTTCTGGTTTTTAGTCTCATCTTAAAGCTGACATTCTGACCTATCCAATGGTAACAAAACCATTTCTGTATGTTGATTTATGCATTCACAACAGATCACGAAAGGGTTAGGGGTGGTGGAGTTCTTTAACATCTAAAGGGAGCATCTGGCCAAAATTTTATCTCAGCTATTTACAGACGGATCAATTTGAAACTTAGTGCACATATGTAAAACGTAAATCTAAGACTTTTTTGTTCCTATGAATTTAAAAAAAATGAAAGAAAATGTTAAATTCTTAGAAAACGGCCGAAAAAGGGGTACTGTAGAAAAAGGGGGTATCTCCTAGCATTTACAAGCCACAACATCGAGACGCAGATCATTTGATGCGTACAAACGATATCTATCAATTAGTCATAGTTTTTTTTAAATTCAAATTTTTGTGGGTGAGCATTTTTCATGAATTTTTCTAAAAATTTTGGATTTCCCCCTACTTCCCACTGCCTTTTTCAAAATATTTTCAAACTCTAACGAAATTGAAAAAAAGCTATGACCAATCTCTAGATCTTTTATTTGCAAATCAAATGGTATATCTCTTGTTGCTGTGGTTTCAAAACTGTAAGAGGAGATAGTTTTCCAGTGACAATAAGTGTCAAATGTTCAGTAGAGCCAGACAAAGTCCCGGGCGCCTCAAAATCGGCATTCAAGGATGCAAGACAAGACAATACTGGAGCTTAGTTCCTGTCAAGGATGGTGCAAACAACAGCACGCAAACCATCCCACACGACTGCAGAAGGGTTATTGGAGCGGAGTGTGTGAAGATTAGCTATTTAAGGTGCACTGCGGCAATTATTCCCTATGTTAATTAAATGTTAAAGAACTCCACCACTTTATACCTTTTCCACGATCTGTCGTGAACGCATAATTCAACGTACAGAGATGGTTTTGGTACCATTGGATAGGTCAGAATGTCAGCTTTAAGATGAGACTAAAAACTGGAAAAACCAAAATCCAAAATTTTTGGCCCAACGCTCCCCTTAGTCGTGCTCTACTGAACATTCACTCTTATTGTCACTGCAAACTCATCTCCTAGGGTTTTTTTAAGCTAAAGCAATTAGAGATATACCATTTGATTTGCAATAAAAAGATCTAGAGATTGGTCATCGATTATTTAAAATTTTGTTATAGTTTTGAAAATATTTTAAAAAAGGGGGAAATAAAAAAAAATTTTGAAAATTTTATGAAAAATGCCGCTGTCCCACAAAAATTCGAATTTTGAAAAAAAGCTACAACGAATCGATAGATATGGTCCTTACGCATTAAATATTTTGCATCTCGATGTTGTAGCTTGAAAATCCTAGGAGTAGTTAATTTTCTACAGTACTGGTACCCCCTTTTTGGCAGTATTCTAAGAATTTCACAAGTTCTTTCATTTTTCAAAAAATTTACAGGAACAAAAAAGTCTTAAATTTATGTTTTACATATATGTACCAAGTTTCAAAGTGATCCATCTGTGAATAAAAAAGTTTTTCTGGGACCCAGATGCTCCCCTTAAGATACAGGATTTTCCCTCCACGTATCAGCATGCTTGATCATAATTAGTTTTTGGTAGGTAATATCTACAACAAGGAGGCTTATCAATAAATGCGGAGTATACCATTCAATGGAGAATAAAAATTACAACCCATTCACATCTTGAAAAGTGTAAAAGGTGCAGACATGACGAACATTAATATCCAATGTTACTTGAAATTTCCTTTCATCATAACTCTTTTAATACAAAGTTTGCATATTTTTTTGTTACTGTCCACCTTTGTAAATAATTAGGTGTGTAAGCATGGAGAAATTCATATCGCCATCTCATTTACAAGTGGAGTAAAGTCCGGCCTAATTTGTGAGAAAACTCATAGGGAAGAGCTTGTTCAAAGCCTCACGGTTCTCAATCAGAGCCTTTACAGGCTTAGTTTAGACTTATTAAATTTTTAACATATTTGGTCACTGTCCTGATTGTTTATAAGTAAGTTTTTTTTTCAGGGTTCCATGGTATATTATTTTTGAATAAGTGGCTGTATTGTGGTGACTCGTGTGTTGTTGATGCATGGTTATAGTCTTTGAGGAATTATATTTATAATTTTTGTGTAACGTGAGTTATCAATGGCAAGCAAATCTCATGCCACTGGCAGCAATCGAGGCACTGAAGCTGACTGGCTTTGTCCTGATCCAAAGTAAGTATTGATTGATTCTAATACTTTTTTCATAAATTCATTGAAATAGACTCGAGGGAAGAGTCGTAACTCTTGACTTACTGCTCATAACTTGAGCCAAGAATCAGAGTCAACTCTTTGTATCTTGGTAGCTTTAAACTCACAATTTTGAACCTGTATAGGTTTTGAAATATTTTATTAATTTTCCAGACTATGCATGTATGAAAATTTGAAAAGATGATGCCCTAGCATATCTCATAGTTATTGGCATCCTATTGCAAACCATCTATCTTGGCTACTATTTCTTTACAGCTGTATAATCTCAATATAGTCATTGTCTACATTCATTGTACCTCATTTTATATAAAGAATGGAGGAATTGTATGTCCTCTAGTAAGTGTGGCCAGCTTACTTCTTTGTTACTTTATGTTTGATGTACTTCATTATGTTTTAAATCTTGAAATTTTAAATACTTATTAATATAATAATGGTGAAACAAATAACTTTATGTTATTATAACATTGAGACAAATTTGATTTTAGAAAGTTCACAATTATCCCTGATTAGCATGGCATCTTTTCTTACTCATGTATTTCTATCATGCTAAGAAATGATGACATTATAATTTCTAGAGGCAGACTTTGTGCACTGGAACATGAAATTCTGATTGCATAACTTTCAATTCATTTTAATTTATAGCTTTCTTGTATATAGATGATAGTTGTATTTTGTTGCTGAATTTTCAATTGTGTGCCTTTACCAGATACATTTTAGTCAATGTTTTTGGGTGAACTCGTGTTCTCAGCTCTATTTATGAATACAAGTTAAAATCAAAAGAGTTTTCTGTCACACTTGTATGACTATTTGTATTCTTTTAGGTGTGGAAACCTTAATTTTGCCCGTCGCTCCCACTGCAACCGCTGTGGCAAAGGTGAGACAACAGATACATTATTTCAATTGGGCACATTTCTGTGGAACAGTCACTGTGCAGGCCTTTTGTTAACAGTTTATTTATGATTGCTTTGAAATGACAATCAGTCACTACTTTCTAATTATGAATGTTGATTGATGATCTTGTCTGATTAATTTTATCAAGTGCGCATAATATATCATAATATTCAACTACTGGCTTAAGTTGACCCTAATATTTAACTTTTGTCTTGTATTAGGGTGCAATTTTATATAGGCAGGTGCTATTATATCGGGTCTAAATTAATGTATTATTTTTTGGAAATTAAGAACTAAAATATGGAAACTTACACCCCTGAGTAAGGCCAAGGGCAACATAATCGTTTTCTTTTATTACTTCAATGAAATAAAATTAGTTGCAGGTGAAAGTTTCTGTTTCAGTTATGCAAGTTCTTTTTAAAACAATAATACCGTAATTGTGGAATTAAAAAATTGCCTTTTTTGTAATTAGTCAGTATTATTCATTTCAATCCTCATCAACCTTGCAAATGATACCAATAACTTGATAATTAATATTATTTTCTTTACATGAAAAAATTGTGTTATGGATATATTTAAATATATATATATATTCCTGGTAGCAGAGTCATTGTGCAACCTAATGGCCCTTTTTATTGGTTTATGGAATTTTCTTTGTGTACACCAAACTATATTTTTTAATTTCCTCAAATTTCGACATTATAATGTTTTAAATGTTTTTCTTGAAAGTTTATGTTGATGTCAGAAACTGATCTGACCATAGTTTAAACTTGGCAACTGGCAATATTAATTTAATTTGCTGAGAGTTTATTACTTTTATAGTGTAAGAATAGTGTGCTGTTGTACATTATTTGTTGATATTTTCCATAGCTCAAGTCATGTCTGCATCAGAGAAAAGGAAACTTTTGGGCACAGAAATTGGCAAAGCTGCAGCTGAAAAATCTCATGGTCTCTTCAGTGCTGATGACTGGCAATGCAACAAGTAAGTAAGAGCAGGCAATTTTGTTTACAGGTTAGATGCTCAGAAATGATGTAGCCTCATGAGCATCTGGATCACAGGCTTCTGCACCCAGCAGGGCAGGCTTCTGAACACCGGGAAGTGTGATGATGAAAACTTTTTATTACCACCACAGTCCCCTCATTACCATCACAGTCCCCTCATTACCATCACAGTCCCCTCATTACCATCACAGTCCCTTCATTACCATCACAGTCCCCTCATTACCATCACAGTCCCCTCATTACCATCACAGTCCCTTCATTACCAAACCACAGTCCCCTCATCACCACCACAGTCCCCTTATCATCACCACCACAGTCCCCTTATCATCACCACCACAGTCCCCTTATCATCACCACCACAGTCCCCTTATCATCACCACCACCACGGTTATTATGTTAATAAAAGGTTAACAAAAGGTTATTATGTTATACCATATAGAAAATTGTTCTTTATTACTTTCCACCTATTCAGATGCTCATAATTTTGTCCAATATTGTTGCCTGTCATGGCTGTCAATGACGACTTGCCTCAAGCACTCACTCACAATTTATCGCTATAATTCCCATGGCAGCATTTATGAATGATGAATGGGCTGATCTCTTCCTATTATTTACATTATTTCTATGATTCTATTCCTATACTGCTCGGATGGTGTAAAATTTGATAAAGAATTAAATTTTTTCCTTGGAAAAATAGCCTCTGTAAAAAATATTTAATGTAATAAGAAAGGCTTTTATCATACGTATGGCTTATAGCTCGTCATTAAGTTGAACCTACCATTAGCATGAAGTTGCTGAACGTACGAACTCGAGTTGTTAACTATCTTTGTTTTTAAGTATCACACTGCAGCTCAGACTCTGAATTCTCACGGTATTTTTAAGTCTCGTACAACAGCATCTAATGAGCAATATCTTCTAGTCACTTATAGTTACACTTCTTTTAAATGCTGTCCGTTCAAGTACCGCGCCAGAACTGCTGTGGCTGAAGCCATGTCAGAGAGTCGCACAATTTGCGTTGGTTGTTGTTCCTCTACGACTGACGCAGCAATGATGGTGAAATGTTGAGGTTGCCAGCCGCTGTCACGTTATCAACTGGCTTCTTTTAACAATTTCTGTAGTATTCGTGGGAAATAGAATGGATTTGCTTCCCAGAAGTAGTAGAACGTGGAATTAATGAACATACCGTACTAAAGAAAATTTTATTTCCTAACCAATTTTGTCGTATTTAGGAACGAAGCTATTTAACACTACGCTCCTGCGAGCCTTGCAAGTTTTTTTTTTATCAATTATCCGCTCGATTTATTATTTGCTTCTAAATGCTAGGTAATTAATTTGAGCTAAAACTTGGCATTTAGATATTATTAGAACGAAGCGAAAAAAACCCTCGCAGTGAGCGTCATTAAACGCTCGTAGGAGCATTTGCGAATAAGTAGCTTTTTTGTTTACTATTCGTAAGTCAAGATCAGTTTCAAGTAGAAGAAGTTAAGGCCGGTCCACACGCTCAGTTTTCACAACGATTTGTCTGCGCAGTTTTAAGTCGGAATGAAATCGTTGCAATTTTATGCGTGAAAGGGTGCGGCGTGTGCGCGGAAAAATTCGTCCAGAAGCATCGGAACTGTGGCACTTGTAGCAGGATCAACAACGTGTCACAAATACCAGTAGTCACTTGCAATTAAAAACTATGTGCACTGAATATATATACTTGTATTAAACAACTCATTAATAAAAACTGATACCAAAGCTGGCCTTGCCGATCGCAGGTTGAACACTATTCGGTTTATTGTATGATCCAACTCTATTTTATTTGGTTTTCTTTCTGAGCGGTAAAAAACGGAAAAGAAAACGGCGGTCGTGAGAAGCAAATGGTGAGTTCAACGTTCGCTATCGAAAATTTATTATGTTATTTTTTCCCTTTTCAATTATCTATGCAGTCCTTGCGTTTAACTATTCGTTTTTTTAGTCATGAAAATTCTATACATGATGAAATCGTGCGCCAGGATATTGCACCACATTTTCAACGCCTCGATGTTTCTTTTCCAAATATCATTGCTATCTTCAAATCATGAAGATAGCAATCTAAATCATGCCATCAAATATCATTGCCTTTTACGATTACCGGCAGTTTAATCAAATTATCGTTCCATGAGAAGGAATTGCTCATCAAACATTCCTAGTGTGAGACATTGATCGGAGATCTTTTCGTTTGAACGACGACTGATCGAACACACGACGCGTCAGGGTTAGAGCGACTCACTCGCGCTGCCGGGGACTCCAGTTACTCACTGAATGCCACGAGAAATTCTTGTTATGCTGTCGTCAGATCTTGCCTGTTCACTTGCGCAATGAGTTATTTAGTTCTTTGCTCGAATTCATCACGACGTTCAGATTTCAACACAGCTTAAAATCGAGATCACGCGGAAACGAACAGAGCTTAACTGCCCGGTACGATCTTTCTCAGTAGGACTAAAATAAAATAACAGGAAGGGAATAGGAATTGTCTATTACGAGTTATTTCTATTTTTACAAGTGGTTAAAAGAGATTAGGATTTTTAACAATGAACAAGTTCTGTAACTTAGAAATTCACGTATAATATTTTTTCCTCTTCTCTCACATGACACGAATTTATTTCGCTACTGTAGAATTTCACTGCAGCTATATTCGTTCTGGTGCTATTTTGAAACCGTAGATAAACGTTGGCTTGAGTGTGTGAAAATATTTAACTGATAGCGTATCTTATCAATTGTGGTATCATTAACTTCATAACTATTAATTCTCTTTCTGTTCGAAGAACATGTAGCGGTTGCGATTGCCTTATATCCATCAATAATAACAGCATCTGTCGCTTGTAGTCAAATTTGAGACGTTAAACAGGCAATGTCCATTGCCTGATGCGTCAATGCCGTAACGTTTGTTGAACATGCAGTGACGTCGAACAAACGTTTATTGACGATGCACTAACGACGGGCAACAAACGTTCGTTGACTATGCAGTGACGTTGGACAACCAACGTTTGTTGACGATGCAGTAATGTTCGACAACAAATGTTTGTTGACGATGCAGTAACGTTAGACAAAATTGGTCCAACAACAAACGTTTGTTGACGATGCAGTAACGTTGGACAAAAAACGTTTGTTGACGATGCATCAACGTTTGACAACAAACGTTTGACGACGATGCATCAACATCGGACAACAAACGTTTGTTGACGATGCAGTAACGTCGGACAAGAAACGTTTGTTGACTGGTAGTTTCTTCGGCAGATGCGGTAACGTGAACTGGGCACGTCGAGGCACGTGCAACTTATGCAACGCGCCGAAGGTTGGCGAAGTGGAGGAGCGCACGGGCTACGGGGGCGGCTTCAACGAGCGCACGGGCGTCGAGTACGTCGAGCGGGAGGAGAGCGATGACGAGTTCGATGCTTTTGGCCGCAGGAAGAAGAAACTCAAGGGCTCGGTAAGCTGGTGCCTTAATAGTTGCTAATATATTAATGGTATAATGAGAAACTAATGGGCTCGGTAAGCTGGTGCCTTAATAGTTGCTAATATATTAATGGTATAATGAGAAACTAGAGGCTCGTCGAGATGGCCCCGTTCAGTCACTATTATATTACTTGCATGGTCATAAAGATTGTTTGCGCTGGTTCCCGCTGCATTTAAAATCATCTAATTAGTTTTGTTTATGATCCATAAAAATGTATTATGAGCTCTTCAGAACTGCTGTATGTATGTATATATACTGTAGTTATATTGCTCGATAAGTGCTGTGGGCTTATACTTTACAGCTAAAATCGTCTCGAAACGAGATATATAACACTTAGATGTGTTGGATAGTTCTTTAATGGCAGTAATTTGCGAAACTTTGGTCAAACAAAGACAAATGTAATCTGCTGATTACCATGTTGCTCGAAAAATTTTTATGCCGAAAAAATGCATTCAATACAGCTGATATTTCTCTTGTAATATAACCCTTGCTAGCATAGTCTGGTTTTAAATTGTGCAATTCTTTTATATTAAAATACGTAATCGCTTCATATTTTTAATAAAATTGATTGCTATAAGTTGTGTTCATTACATCGTACGCACGCAGGATAATAAAAACAAGAGCACGTCTGCGACACGTCAGTCGCCTGAGCGCAGCAAGCAATCAGAGAGTGACGAAGAGGACGAGGATGACGACGATGGTGGTGACCTCTCGAAGTACGCGCTTCTGAGCGACGATGAGGGCGATGACGTCAAAGACAAGAGAGACGAGGTGGGTTGTCATGGTCGGGATGATGAGTAAATTGTTTTCAAGCAAGGAGCGTTCAATTTAGAATCGTGTTCATCACTTGTTTTGTTTTCAATATGTCAGCGTAAAGTTTTGATGGAAATCAGTGCAGGATATCATGTAATTGTTTACTCAATAATGTTAAGAATATTTCATCGTTTGTTGTGCCTGTACAGGAAAGCAAGACCGTGAATGGCACCTCCTCGCGTCCTCAGTCGTGCAACGAAAGGTGAGGCCTCAGGCACTTTCATAAAAACTTTGACATTCAATCATCACTGAATAAATTGTATTCAAGCGATAACCGTAAAACTGGGTTATTAGTTGAGACCGAGACGTGAATAAGTATTATGTGTAAGCTCTGTACGTTGTTTCATGTTATCATGCAATAGAAAACTATATACTACAAACAGTGAAAGTTGCCGTCACACCCGGTGTCGCAAATAACCCCGTTTGACTGTACTGTAAACCCCAAGCTTGTTGCTCATTTTATTTGTTCTCGTCTCATTGGCGCCATCATAGATTGTGGAGTGATGCTGGATGTGTTAGAAATATCGAGCATCTGCGTCCTCGTAAATTTTTTGTTCTCATGGTTTATCTATCCCATAATACATGATAAACCTCATGGTTTATCTATCTCATGAATAATATTCATATTCCATAATAGGATATTATCCTATTATAATATATAATAGGATAATATCCTATTATTTATTTATACGAGCATTATGGGGTAGTTCAACGAAAGTCAAGTATTTCCTATTTTTAAGAATTTTTAGTATCTTGAGAGAATTAACTCGCACAAAATGTGTATTTTGAATACCATCAAGACACGAGACTGAACAGCCATTGTGAGACAAGGTTTCTAAGTATTTCCAAACTTGCTTTCAGGTCATCCAACACGAGCAGGCAGCGCCGAAGCTCGAGCAGCGACAGTGAGAGGTTCGTATCTTAAAAATTGTCTGCTCCCATCAGTTACTTCTCGACTCCTTTTAAATTGCAATTATTATAACCTCCGACCTGCAACTCGTCTATATTTACAAATAGTTTGGAGTCACTATTTGTAATTATTGGTTTTCTAAACAGTTACTCTGTATAGGTAGTTAGGCGTCAATCGTCATAAATTTACTCGTGGCTTCTGCTTAGATTTTACTTCCACTGATTTTGTTGTATTGACGATCAACTATGGGTTGTGGAATGTTTTTATTTTGGTGTTAGATAATCGTTTTAGTTGATTTCTGAGTATTCATTTGATACATTTCATTCGCTAATAATTCTCAATCAATTCTAAATATTACAAGAAATTAATGCATTGCTTATCGCATTTCTGGAATTTTCTTAATGTATTGATTTTATATTCATGAAATAATAAATTGTTACTCTGAGTCTTCTTAGTGCTTGAATGTTATTTTCTGATCTTGTTTAAAAAAATTTCTTTGCGTTTGATTACATTCCTGGTAATAAGAGATCTTTTTATTCGACTTTGCGTCTAAATAAAGAGCCATTTTTTTCTCCCGCTTATTATTAGCATTTACGAAGTCTGCCGCTTCAGGTCATGGTCTCGCGACCGTCATCGCTCAGGCTCGTCTCGGTCGTACTCACGAGACGACAGGAGCAAGTCTCGGGACAGTCGCCGGAAGTCTCCCTCTTCGTCTCGCCGCCGGTCGAGGTCAAGGTAAACAGTGCAGCTGAAAAATCGGCTGCTCTGCTTGGTAAACAAAAGGTCAATATCGTCCTTTTTTGTCGGGTCTGCTGCAGGTAAGGAGCTACACATGTTCCTGTGACATATGGATGTGTGCTTAAATTATAATAATAAGAAAATGTCAGTTCTCCTTTGATAACTTTTTATTGAAGGCTGTGTCGAAAATGCTAGTATGCAGCCTAACAAATCAAAAATCAATAATGCAGTCGGGAAATAAGGTTCCATATCTACTTAAGTCGTAAAAAGGTAGTGCACGACTAAGTTAGGCAATTAAATGAGGTACCAAGTCGGTAAATTTGAATGCGTAACTCGACTAATATTGTTGTGCAGGTCGCGCAGCAGCGGCACGGGCCGGGACAGGAGGCGCAGCGACTACTCCAGGTCCCGGTCGAGGTAACCTCTCACTTGGTGAACGGCCGCCAGGTAGGGTGAACTCGGTGGCTAGCCGCACACTTGTGAGGCCGACGCGTGCGTCGCTTCACCCGTCCCGCGCCTCCACATCGATTAAGCTCTCGCTAAATGGGCTGAATTGACTCCTATCATAATTGACCTGAAGTCTTTATAGGATCACAATGCTCGACTTACGCGTCTAGTATGTTGAATTTGTTGGTCGAGCGCATGTTCGAGAAGTTCGCTAATCTAACGTTGGTTTTCCTATGTTGCTTTTCATGCGTTTGACTTCAAATAGATTTCTGGCAGTGTTCTCATCGCTTAACGAATATCCTGCATTTTTTTGCGATGTTTCAACAATAAATTTTTGCTTTGTGGGTTTTGTTGTTGGTAGCTGAAGACGTGTGTAATAATTTGTCAGATACAAATTTCGTGTCCACAGGTCACCATCTCGGCGCTACAGCAGAAAGTAAGATGCCAGCGACGGGAGATACGACATTGGATCACCGTATCCCGTGCGTAGATTGAAGTCCTAACATCATGTCAGTCGTTTTCATTGATTGGAAAATGTTCTTGTTGCATCTTATAAGTGTACAAAAAATTAAGTACAGCTCCAAAAATTCATTGCTTTCTATGGCAGTACTGATCTGATAAGTTGTTACACGTTGCTGCCAATCTGTAGATGACAAATCATTGACGGAAAGATGTTGCTCTTACATGCAAATCCTATATCCAGCGCATTCCTGGCAGAGATTAAGCGGTGACTTGGATAAATTCCATAATAATTATCAACCGGCAGGCTAAGAATAATTATTAACTAGCAGGCTAAGAGACGTAAATTAGCCTTGGTCATGTTTTTATGTTTAGCGCAAATATTTAATCTCCTCGTATTTCACGAAAAAACTTTATTATAAAGTAATTAAATGATATCTTAATTCTGTTACAGCACTTGCGTTTATTTTATTTAACTTGCATTTTCCATCAAAGTTCAATGGTTTTAATTTCAGTCATCACTTTTTCCGCGCACTCATCATTAACAATTTTCACGTATCTATTAAACTGCATCGCGCTTATAATTTTAGTCATCTTCTCTAATTATTTAAGATAATTCTAACGCATGTAGCGGGCATTAGACGTACTAAAACTATTACCCCAGTAACTTTCATTGCACAAGTCGTTTACTTCTCAGCACCTTAGACGATCCGTGTTCCGATTAGGAGGCGAGTTAATTTATAGAAGAATAAAAAATTGAACTGTCCAAATCACGAATGCAACCACGAAATGGTTAGAACTACGGTATGAAATGCAGTCGCTCACTAACGTGAAAGACTAGTATTGTTGCGCAAAAAATTGATAGCGTATGTCTACGGGTTGGACGTCCATAATTTTCGTTGAAAGTAATTTATTTTCGAACGCTCCAGAGTTGCTTTTCATTGATGATATGATGAAAAAGAGTTGAATTTTATTTTGTTAGTCTTATTGACGCATATGTGCACCCCAGTTTATGACTTCGCTCTGGGACTCGATAATGATATTCAATATCAGGGAGTTAATAACGTATTGCAATTTTACCGTTTCACTAGCTCGTCAGATGCATAACGTATCTTAATTAGCAATTGATCCATTGAGTCTGCTTCAATTGAGTAAATACTATATTATGCTTATAGAGAACAACAAGGTAAATGGAACACAATGAGTGACTCCGGAATATTCGATGGTGATTGAAATTATTGAGCAAGACCTGGACATGTTCCGTGTTACTGAGTCTAAACTGGCGCTCGTTCTCATAGGAATCAATAATAATGTTAGAGCTAGAATATTACAGCACAATGTACATGCGCTCATCAAACCATGATTAAAAATGCTAACGAATAAGTTGTTTGCATCCCTCAAATGAAAAATGCACTGATGCCGCTATATTATGAGTGGTAGAAACATAATTTCCTCGCAAGGGTCACTGGCAGAATGTAAACTATTTTGTTCGTGAATTATACACTTATTGAGGCGGTTTGTTAAAAAAAAAAGGCATTATGTACCGAATGGATTCAACAGAATGTACAGATGATCGAGTGTAAAATCGTCATGGGGATTTCTAAACGCTTCAAATGAACTGGACAAATTCAAACGATATTTTACACACACTAATATTTACAATATTGTATTTAATTTCTCGGTTTCCCATACACTTCTTCATCAATCTTCTGAGGATAACGTTGCAATAAAGAATTCACCTGGCGTCTGTTGAGGCGTTTCGCGCCTGGGTTCATGTCGCCGACCTTCTCCTTAGCCTTCCGCGTCACGATTTCCTCCTGTCAAAGATGAAGGTTCTTGATAAATTGAAACAGCCGTGTAGTCCAGCAATTAGGACAGCCGGCGTTACAGTATATCAGTCCAGTTATGAAGGTACCGGCCTAACAGTAGATGTACCAGTCTACTTATTACGGCTATCTTGACATCGGTTTTGACGAGTTCACACTGAAAGGTTTTGGTAACGCATACTCAATTCTAATAAATGCTCTACATGCATTTATTGGTCGAATCAGTATGAATGAACACTAGTATATTCTAACCGAAGTGCTATACCTGACAGCCTGGAAATGTAACTTATATCAAACTAAAAAATGATGGTCAAGTTATTTTACTTGACTTGATAGTCAAGTACAAGTGTAATTTGTTAACCAGCTGGTTTCGTGGGGATTAACTCATACGTATCCGTGCGTTCAACTGTTTCTCGCATAATAAGCAAAAATGAAATACGTCATTGATGACGAAACCAAGATGTAAATTCACTCAAAGCAAAACAAATGAACGATTTGTTTAGCCCTACTTCCATTTTGCTCCATATTTAATTGTTACGCTCCCGTCATCAGGCTGCTTGACCGCCTCACCAACAACTAGAACACAGCAAGTAAGCTGGTGCAACTTGACGCACTAATTTGTTTACTGGAAATAATTACACAAAATTCGTTCCTCAATCAATGAATAGGTGCTTCAGACTTGATAAATTTGTTCCGGAGTAATAGAAGCGCTCCTCATTGTTATTTATCACCAAACTATCATAAATGAAACATTCACTATAGTTAATGCAAGAATAATAATGTTGTCTGTCTGAATAATCAAACTGTTGTCTTACTGTACCACTCACCCTGATTTTATTGTGACAATTTGTAAGCGAAGTGGCTTCAACTGCACACGGCGCCTGAGCAAAGTCATGTTTCTTGTAGCAGGCTAGCAAAACGGCCATTTCGTGTAAACATTTGGTATCTGAAATGCAAGATATTTATTAATATTGAGGCCTTTCAACATTAGTTGCTCTATAAATGTTACACTACATGAACTATGAATAATACACTGGATACCGGTACCATTTGCTTACGATTTTGTGCCACTAAAAAACTACTTTGTATCTCATATGCGCAAGTAATATATACTCACTAGTTTCTTGATCAAATTTTCCAGATACTCTGTCTTTGAGCTTCAAATCCCGAATAGGGACAAAAGGGAAGGGTAGTAAAGTGGGGCCTCGACCAGTGGTTGGGTAGCCACCAAAGGGCTGGGCATATCTACCACCAGGACCAGGAAAAGATTTGCCACCATATGTTTTCTTGGTAAACATCTTGGCACAATTCACTGGAGTGGTATGCATTTTGGCTAATGGAAAAACTGATGGTTAGCATACTGTAAACAAGGAAAAAATTAATTAATGCCAAATTCAAAATTTCATACCAAAAATGAAAGTAATGAACTATCTGAATCTACTTCAGATTTAATGAATGAATCCACTTAAGATTTAAGGACTAAATCTAATCACATATACAGAATTGTATATGTGATTGTAATCCACAGTCCACACCATGTTGGAATTAGTTTTTAAGTGCCTAAAACCGTCTCTTAAATCAATCATCTATTAATTTATTTATCACTTAAAATCAGCAAATACAAGTAGGTATACTTAAATGATTCCTAATATACAGACTTATTTAAAAGTCTCAAACCATAATATTCTTTCTACAGAAACAGTTTATCACTATTTAGTAAAGCAAGGTCAACTATCAACTTTCATGCGTGTTTTCGATGTTCTCACTAGTTGACTTGGACTTTCGCAGTCAGCGGATCTTAACATTTTCCTGTCAGACCTAGTGTTTTGTACAAAGCTGTTGCACAATAGTATGATGTCGCTATTTCAACCATCTACGCATGCGTGGAACTAAGACAAAGCTTAATATAAAGGAAAAAGTTGAGGGGTGTCAGAATTACCCACAGTATCAGAATATGGTGCCTGGTGCCTTTACCCTATAAAGGAAAAAGTTGAGGGGTGTCAGAATTTACCCTATCTTTTGAATATAAATTTATATGTTGTATCACATAGCCTAGGCAGACCACTACCATCCTACTGACTTATAGGACTCCAAAATTAACTTGAGAGTCTAATAAAACTCTCTGCTTTGCCAATTGCCACTATTAATATAATTAAATTATATTATTAATTATGTATAAAAATATAACAGCAGTGATGCTTTCAGAACTTTAATCCCAACAGAACAGTTTTTGTAAAAGTATTTAGAATTCGTAATTTGTTGAATAAATTAATAAACAAGATAGGTAATTCTTTTAAAGATAGGTGAACATTAGGTAGAAAATGGTCACTTTGATTAAATACATACCTACTTAGCATATTCTAGCACTTTTCTAGGTTGCCCATAACTTAATCACGATTCAACCAACAAAATGCCACTTTACTTGCACAAAGATAAATACAATGCAGAAATGAATGATCAGTTATTAATATCAGATAAATTATTTAAAACAGTTTCACAGTTAGGTACCTACTAGTCAGTTTATAGAACCAGCAGTGAGCAATCCACCGAGTCCAGCACCTGCATTCCTACACAAGACAAGACACAACTTCACAAGTGAGTGAACAGTGAAGTGACCGTGACCAAGACTGAGGTAGGGTAAACACGGTATATTCCGACATTGTGGGTAATTCCGATTTCTGACACCTCTCTAGTTTTTCCTTTATATTAAGCTTTGTTTTAGTTCCATGCATTCGTTGATGGTTGAAATAGTGACGTCATACATTTGCGCGTCAAACTACTGCCAAAACATTAGGTCTGGGCCATCTAGCGGGAAAATGGAGAGACGGTGCATGCCACCGAATGAGATAATCGAAAAATGTATCAAAGTTGACAGTTGACCTTGCTCTATAAAAATAACAAAATAGTGATAAACTGTTTGTGTAGAATTTAGAAAGAATATTATGGTTTGAGACTTTTAAATACATCTGTGAATATATTAGGAATCCTTTAAGTATACTTGTATTTGCTGATTTCAAGTGGTAAATAAATTAATAGATGATCAAGTTGAGAAAGGGATTTAGACACATAAAAACTAATTCCAACACAACTTGAATTGGACACACACAGCTCGTTCCAAGCTGTGTGCAAAAATTAAAATTTTCTTAATTAAAAGCTTAATAACTGTTAATTAAAAGCCTAATTAAGTAGTGTTCAATATTCAATAGTGTTCTAATTCAAACTTCAAAGCCGTGTTGTATTCCAATACAACTCAAACAGCGATCGGAATTCGAACACGTGGATGTCGGAATTAAGAATTAGTATAACTTGAAGCGCGGTCGTAATATGTCTCACCACGGGCCGAATATAGTCACACACAGTGTCGCCGCATAGTGGCAAACCAGAGCTTTTTTGGAATCATTTCATTTTTAATTTTCCCAAAACTCAAGATTTAAACCAATTTCTTAAGTATTATAATGCTGGAGTTTTGTCTTGACTCGTTATCATTACATTCTGCAGGATATTTTGGCAGGAGCATTGAAGTACTGCCGAGTGTTGGCTGCGTGGGACTGTGGGAAAGGGATTTTATTTGTTTGTATTTTGGAGTTTGTAGAGTCAAAATTATGTTAGATATTTTGGTAGACTAATATTTATTTGCGAGCTCTAAATTTTCCAGTGCAGCGCGTTTCGTAGCCAATTTACCGCCCGTAGCTCTTATTTCCAGTCAAAATCGAATTTCACAATGGCAAAATTTCAATGTTGCAAGCAACAACAATAACTTCAATGGTCAACTTTTGGGAAGCTTTTGCATAAAATAAAGAAAATAATTAGTGTGCGGTAAATCAGTTTTTTATCCTTGACAACTGACTAATTATTATATCAAGATCTTTTGGAGTCAGATCAAAGCAGAAGAGTTTTAACTCGTTGTGAACACTGGAATTGCAAACTGAGGTTGGGTAGATCCTGCATAGCAATTCAAGATTCAACATCTGGTAACCCCAGAGTGACATCGAGAAGAGTGACTTTCAATGATGGATTGCTTCAATCAAGAAAGAAGATTTGTGTGAACTCAATTTACCAGCAATGATGTCAAGCGGAGACTAAACAAGGAAGATGTTGGTATCGAGTTTGCAGTACTGAAGAGTAATCAATGAAAGCTATCGCAGTTAAGCCAGCGGCTGCACAAAATCATTTTGCTGAGAAAACTGAAGATAATGTCATTGAGGAAGAATTCCATATATGTGGCTGGTACCTATGAGGAAAGAGTTGAAGCAGGAGGCAGCCCTGCAGTTTAAAATCAAGTTTCCTTTGCTTTCAGTGCCACTGTCGAAGTGTAGCAGCACAGCCAAGATAAGATCGATTAAGCTACCCAAGATCAAGCTAAAAGTGTTCAGTGGGAACTTATTAGAAAGGCTTGAATGGCGGCGCAGTACATCAGCATCCAAAAAGATGAGTTGCTAAACGACAGTGCAAAGTTTGGATATCTTTGACAGAGATTAAAGAGTCCACAGTCCAGTAAACTGTAGAATGCACCAACCCATGGCAGGAAATCTGGAATGCAATGCTCTGAAGCTGAACAAAGCATTATTACAAACCTGGCTCTCCCATTAACTGAATACTCTATGGACAGAAATGTACTTGCAGCTTGGAAAAGAATGCCAGTCAGTCTAGCAGACAAATTACAGATGAAGTTTTTGATGAAGATGCTGGTAGAAGTTCAAAGCATAGAATCAAGTCAATCACAAAGATTGATAGGTACTTTTATTATTTCACCAGAAGACAAAAAGTTACATGACATCAGTCTTGATGAATAGTTAGCTCATGGGACTTCTATTTAAAAACCTTTTGTCACAATATAATTATATGGAGGATTGACAGAAAGTGAATGATGGAAATTATCCTGCAAGAGAAGATCAAGTTGAGGGGAACCCAGTGCAAATAAGCATGTTGGCATTTATATTCAAGGAGCATGGGATCCAAATAATGTGTAATAAGCCTGTTGGCTAAAATATTTAAAGACACCTGTTAAGGACATGTGAACAGATACTAATGATGAAACTCAAGTAGACGAATCTACCCGTGAAAAGGGTAGATGTGAAATTATAGTAGAAGTATCTGATTAAGGTAAATTGTGATTGGTGTTGTGATTGGCGTTGCGTGCAAGGTTCATTGTAATAATGACAATGTTTAGTAGGTACAAGATATGTTCCAAACAATGTTAAGGATAAAATATGTTGAGTGCAAGATACGTGTAACAAACGTCGAGAACAAGATGCTACCTGTTGAGCATCTTTATTTTAGCCACAGCATGGATAACCAGAGGCAAGAGCTAGGTCACGTTTGTGAGCAATTGTGTAAAAATATTGGAGTTAACCAAGCCTGCACAATGGAATCACGTCCCTGTGTGGTCAGATGAAAACAGAAGATTTCTATTGCAAAGTTGCAGTCCCTAAGAATTATTAGTATCAAAATGGGTGGGAGGGCCAAACCCAGCATTAATTTCCTGATCCATGGACCAGATTCAGAAATACTACAGAAACTTTCACTTAATATGGAGAATTGGAGTTGGAGATGTCAAAGTTTTCACTTAATGGACCTGCTAAATTAACACATTTCAATATAAACCAGCTAATGAAGGAGGAGATCCAAACAGAAAAGAAGTATGATCAAAATTTGGACAGCATTTGTTTCTAACTAAGAATACTGAATACCTAATTTATGTAATTATTTATGTCATTGTAAATTATTCACATTTCACACTAAGTTCTTAATTTGGTGGGAGAATGTGCCAGGTCTCATAGTGTGGCACAAGAGTCGTTGTAAAATTTATCTCAAGGTCATCTGGTCGTTGAACAACCGCATGCCAGTCGATAGTCGATAGGATTTATGCAGTCGATAGTCGATAGGTTTCTTCAGTAGACAGTAGTTCGATAACTTAACAATGAAAACACTAATGACTAGTCGTTAATAATGAGATAACCTTAAGAGAGCCGCGAGATTTCATACCTACTGAAATTATATGATATTAGAGCCGCGATATTTCAGACAAAAATAGGACTTTTCCAGACTAGGTTTGACAGCTTTGGCATCAGCCATCAGCCATCTGCCAAATAATCAGGCATGGAATATTTCTACTTGGTGACTGAAGTGTTTTTATGGATTTGAGCCATGGTTTTATGGATTTGCCAGCTGTGGCCTGTGATTCCATTTCTTCGAGCAGTGAATTCCATATCTTGGCCTTGAACTTGAAGTTGAAGAGCCAATTATTACAACCTGTGATCCGCTCAAATGACACGATTTTAGATCTTCTATGAACGAGCCACGAAAAGCAAAATAATCAGCCACAGGTAACATCAGGCCTATCATCGATAAGAATCGGCAATCGGGTACTCATAAGCGCCGACATCACTATGTTATG